GTCCTCCGAAGCTTCCCATTACTGAAAGCCGTACCACCCACAAAGAACTGGACAAAGGTCAACATCCATGTATCTTCATATGAGAAAACTGTGGAGGGGGCCTTGATCCAGCTGGAGGAGACCCTTAATAAAGAGATGAAGAAGCTGCTCGGTGAGGCTGAGCTGAAGAGGGTCCAGAAGTACGCAGTGGATGTGACTCTTGATCCTGATACAGCACATCCTGAACTCATCCTGTCTCCTGATAGGAAACAAGTGAGTCTTGGTAATGTAAAGAAGAATCTCCCAGACAACCCAGAGAGATTTTCTCATTATAATTTTGTTTTGGGAAGGCAGAGTTTCTCTTCAGGCAGATTTTACTCCGAGGTTCATGTTCAAGGGAAGCCTAAATGGAATATAGGAGTGGCCAGAGAGTCGATCGACAGGAAGGGAGAGTTCAAGATGAGGCCTCAGGATGGTTACTGGACTATATGTTTGAGAAATGGAAATGAGTACAAAGCTCTTGATGCTCCGTCAGTCCTTCTCTCTCTGAAGTCTCGGCCTCAGAAGGTGGGGGTGTTTGTGGATTATGAGGAGGGTCTGGTCTCCTTTTATGACGTATATACTGCAGCTCTGATCTACTCCTTCACTGGCTGCTGCTTCAACGGGAAAATCCACCCAATATTAAGTCCCTGTAATAATGATGGAGGCAATAATGCTGCCCCTCTGATCATCGTCAGACGTACTGTCAATCAAACCGCTTGATTTTTGAGATCAGCATGTTGAGCAATGCAAATAAAGCATTGCCAACAATATGATAACATACAGTGTATATATATATTTACACATAAACATGTCAAACAAAATGTGCATACTAAAATAGGCATAGCGGTCAATACTGGTATGCCAATGTATTATAGAAAAAGAAAGAAAAATCTGACCGATTTACTACTTTCATCAATCATAACTTTTTGTTTTACATTTGATTGCATTAAGGCTTTATGATATCCTTCACAGTAGACATTTGAACATATAAAATTGCTGATCACCACTTTCATTGAATTTTTGATTATTTAGTCAACTTTGTAACACCCGTCAAAAATGACCGCCATAAAGAAATGAAATTAGTAACCATCCGGATCAGACAAAACACACACACAAACACCCACACACGTCCCCCCCCCCCTTATGTGCCCATCCCCCCATATGAATCACACTTGGCACACACAAACACACACACACAGAACAATTTGATACATTTCCCGCTCTTATGTGCCCATCCCCCCACATGGATCACACCTGGCACACGCAATACATGTTCAGCGTCTATTCTTTGTATATTTACTGCAGTGTTGATGTATACCAGTAGTCTGATACAATATTTACAGTTTGAAAGGGTGTTAAATGACATTTGGTGATGATTAATGTTTTTTGTGTTAATGTAATAGCAGTTAAAACAGGACCGGTCAAATTTCGGGGGAAAACGAAGACAATAGGAGGGTTAAATGACAAGATTTAGAAGTCATTCATCGAAATACATATTCAGTTGAAATGTTATCTTAATTTGATTTATCATTTATCATTTGTGTTCTAAACTTAAATATTTTGTCTTCATATTTGGTTAGAAAATTAACAAACAAAAAAAAGGTTACTTTAAAAAAAGGTGCTTTTGTTTGACTTCTTGAAGAGAAAGAGTATTTGATCAGTGGTTTTTATTATGCCGAACAATGTAGTGATAATTAACATCGATTTATTGCTGGACTAGGGATGCAATTGTTCTGATCTTACTTATTTGAGTTGTACATTATTTGAGTGTGGGTATAATCGATGCCAGTTCATCTATAAAGATGTTGATACGGACAAAGTATTTTTTTAACTTTTATAAAGTTCTTTGTCAACCAACCATATTACAGCAGGTCAGGGTCTGAACCTAAATATATCAATAATTGTTTAGTAAATTAGAAGATTTTTACTCAAGAACTTTAAAAAGAAAAAAGTTAAAATCTGCAATAATTGAAAGGGTTTCTTAACAGGTCTACAGACAGTTTTAACTAGTGGACATTGTCCTGCACTTGGTCTTCCTCCTCATTCATAAAAGACAAACGTTGATTTATTAAGTCTATGTTAATGAATGAAAACATATTTTGTGATGAATGAAACTAATCTGTTGTACAGTATTACTCAAGTAAAATCTTGTGCATGAGAAGAAACTTTTTGTCAGTGTTTTATTTTAAAACTTGTCGGTATGCACAGGTTGGATTTATTTCCCTCCTAGCCACCAGATATCAGCATTTCAACACACAAACAAGGCAGGGGAGCGTGTTTTGGGGATTCACAGACGGTAAACAACACTCAACGTCCTGGCCTGATTCAGCAACAACTTTAGGAAATAATCAAACACAAGAATGATATAAAAAGGTCAAACATTACAGGACAAACAATGAGATTAACCTTTCACTGATAAGAGTGTTGCAGAGCTTCAGCACTGTAAAGGGACTGTCTTTTGCTGACATTATATGTGGGATTGACTTTTTTTATGTAAAAACTGTTCTAGTAGCTGTAAGAAAAAGATGATAAAATAAGTTAAAAGTAAAATTAAACTTCAGGGTCTTGAGCTGAAGCTGTGAGAAAAAGAAAGAGTTTTGAATGCACAAGAGGTTAAAAAAAGAGTTGAAACTGTGAACCAAAGTTGAGATTGACAGTTGATTGTTTCAGAGAACTGTGAAGGGGCTGCATTGGATGTATGACTGACCATTAAAATGACTTTCTTTAACTAAGAACACCGACTAGATGCTACCTGAGAAATAAAATGGGGGGGGCAACAGTTTATTTTCCAATTCCACATTACTTCTGGTACATTTGATCTGGAACCCTTTTTTGAAATATACCTTCATTTTGATCTCATCTACAAACAGTTACATTTTCGTGAGTGCATTTTTGCATGGTTGTACACCTTCACAACATCTTTACTTTTGGATACATGGATTGCAGGTTCCAGCTTCCCAAATATAAATTACATTATACTGACATTAAACTAAATATCTCTGGTTTAGACTTTTATCAGTCACTTTTTGAAAATGTTATTGACATTTAATGGACTCATAATTTCAACTCAAGATTTATCAATTCTTTCTGAAAATGCACTACAGGAATGTACTTATTTGTTTTGTGTTGTAATTTTTGATGTGTAGAATCAGAGCCGTATAATAGAATTGTTGGAGACCCAGGTAGAGGACGAAGATGCAGATAGGGAGGATGAGGAGGGTGATGGTGATGTAGAATGAGAGGAAGATTAAGGAGCCTGGTCTGCTGATGAGGCACTCCATTTCCTTTGGGAGGATTTGATGAAGCAGAGAGTCATTGGAAGATGGAGAATCGAGTGCCATGTCTGCAAGAGAAAAAGTCAATCAAGAAAACATTAATGTAATCCTGTGATGCTCTTCCTGCTATACCGATAGCCGGAGCATATTTTAGGAAAGCCACTGAGTTTGAAAAAATAAAACATCATCCGTGCAAGTAATCATCCATAATAATGTTAAATGTCTCTCTATATGGCGCTGTGTAGAATGAATGGATAACAACTGTGTTTTGTTAACACTGTGTTGCAGAATGACAATAAATGATCCCTAAACTCTGATTAATATCCTACATCTTTTACAGCTGTGGATTTAAACATATTTACCATTCAGTTAATGATTGATTGTCAATATTTTTACAGTTACAGTACTCAGTCATTTGGTTATTGAGTTGTAATGTCTCGCCTATTCATTCTCTTACCTCAGTCTTTTAATTGTGTATTGCCTCTTGCTTGTTTGCTTTCACATTGATTAAATAAATTACATAGTCCTGTTAAAGTAATGTCTATGAGTCATTTTTCATTGAGGTAAAAGATTAAATTCCATGTCAGACATCCACACTGGTTTAAACTGAAGTCAGGTTTTCTGAGTGATTTCAGACAATAGATGGTGTGTGTTTTAGGTCCAGTCTCTCCAACTCATTTCTGTTTGGTTGCTAACCCCACATCAAATATTTCTGAGCTCATAGTAAGAGATGTAGTCGCTTTTTTAGAGCTATGTTTCACAGGGTGTCCAAATATTTTACTTCAAAACGACTTGAAGGGAAATGTAATGTAATGCCATTGAATCTGACGTAATCACAGCAACATTCTCCACATTGTACACGTAAAATAATTTGACATTACCACCAAAAAGCACAAATCATGAACAAACTACATCTCTGAAAACCACATCAGAATCAGATATACGTTGATTACCAGGTAGGTTAACACATACGAGGAATTTGACTTGGTGTTTTGGTGCATACATAAAAGTAAAACAAAAATGTAAAACACAGATAGAAAACTATAATAACATTAAAACATGTATTACAAATATAGTCAAATATAGCAGAATATAGCAGTATTTACATTGAAAAACAAGATATGATTACCATTATGTTCTTGAATAAATAATAATAATACATGTTATTTATATAGCACTTTTCCTGGTGCTCAAAGTGCTTAAAAATAAAGAGGAAAAGTAAAGAAGCTGGACACGCGTCGGAGGTGGTGACCGGTTCATTTCTATGAGAGTGGCACCGTGGCGCATGAAGCCCAAAAGGAAGCGACCGTAGATTCAGAAAGTACCCGGATCAGTGGGCCCACAGAGCATGCGCAGTGGAGTTTCCCTTAAGCCCCGCCTCCGATCTCCTGCTCTCGGCTCAGTCAAATGAAGGGAGATAAAATAACTCTGGGTTCAACTTTTAGCGCATTTTAAAACTTTTAGACCCTAATAATTTGAATAAGGGCTGTAAAAGTGTTCGTGCTGGGTAGTTTATTCAGTTAAAACAAAAATTATATGCTGATTTACAGACTACTCTTTCAATGCTGCACTTTCTCAATGTCAAAATGACGTCACTGAAGTTGTAGTACCACCGTTTGGCCACTACGTCCATTCACAGAAATCGGCTTCAAATCGGCTCTTCCTGGTGTCTTGTTGTGATGCTGAGGAGAGAGCATCCTCCGCTGCAGCTTTTTCACGCAGGCAGGCCGTGTGTTTTCATAGATGCAATGACAGAAAGAGGAGATTTATTATTCTTACTACAGGTTATATTATCACCGTGAGTTCACACTGCTCTCGGTGGCATCCTGAGCTCCATGATGGTGGATTTATCCGGGAATGGTGCAGTGTCGCCCGGACACACCAGACACGGACAGGGCTCCGGGAATACCGGGAAGAAAACGTCGAAAAAGTCGAGAACGAAAAGAGGCAAACGAGGCAGGAAAAGAAGGAATAAAAAGAACATCAGGAACATCAGAACACCACCACCGTATTTTCCACCGGAGGTAGCTAACATCCGGGACATCAAGCCTGCTAAAGTAGCAACAAAGCTAATAGTGCTGCAGTAAACCCTGCTAGTTTAAAGCTAACTACTGATAAACAGAGGTGGGAAGTAACTAAGTAGATTTACTCAAGTACTGTTCTTAAGTAACATGTTGATATACTTGTACTTTACTTGAGTATTTCCATTTTATGCTACTTTGTACTTCGACTCCACTACATTTTTATCTAATATCCTACCTTTAGTTACTTTGCAGATCTGGATTAATGATGTGAAATATAATCAACACTTAGATCAGACTTTAGTTCCACCTGGAGTAAATTCACAAGCTACCCTGCAGTATACAAAGTCATTCAAACTAGCTGCACCTTTACCAGCTTTGAGAACACTTTACTGATCAATCATTATAAAACAAATCATATATAATATTCTGAAATGGACCAATCTGCACAATGAGAACCTTTGGTACTTTAAGTATATTTTGATGTAAATACTTTTGTACTTTTACTTTAGTACATTTTGAATGCAACACTTTTACTTGTAACAGAGTATTCCTACACTCTGGTACTTCTACTTTTACTCAAGGAACCAGAATCAGAATTCCTTTATTAGTCCCACAGCGGGGACATGTACGGTGTTATAGCAAAAGTGGCATAGCAGGTAGAAAAAAGGCATGCGATAAGGAAAAACACAAATACGTAATAAAATAAAGACAAATAAGTACACAACCATGGCTAGTAGCATCAAGTTAAGTACAACCAAGTGACACATTGCATATTAAAGTATTGCGACTTTTAAAAAAAAAGGTTCGGGACAATTGTGAAAATATGTATTTTTTTACATAAAGTAATTATAGCACCAGTAAAATAGCAAATAAGTGTTTGCATTGCACATTGCATGTTTATTGCACAATACCTTAACCGTCTGAATAGTTTCAAGCTAACTACTGATGCACAGAAGTGTAAGAAGTATTCAGATGCTTTACTTGAGTAAAAGTGCATTCAAAATCTAGCTTTATGTAAAACTACTGGCATCAAAAGTAAAAGTACCAAAATATTAGCAGCATCAGAATATACTAAAAGTACCAATAGTAAAAGTACTTATTGTGTGTAATGTCCCATTTCAGAATCATATATACTAAATTACTGGATCATGATTATTGATTGCAGAAATATTGGTACTTTTTTGCCGTTTTCATGTTTACATTTTAAGTTGAGTCCTTTACACATTTGTCTGTAGTCCTCATACGTCTTCTTTCTCCCCACTATTTCCAGGCTGAAGAAGGAAACATTGAGTACAAGGTAACTAACTCTTTATTTACTGCTCTGATTTAGTCTATTGCAGGCTTTCCACTTCAACTATGAATTGGAGAACACGCTGAATGTATATCTACTTCTGTAATTCCTCTCTGAATGCTGAAAGAGATGATTTGTCGGGACAGATTTGGGGTGATGGTTTTAGTGGGCTGACTATGACGATGGGCCTTTGAAACAGGATGTGTAAAATGAATATTTGTAGATATTGTTATTACAAAAACAAGACATTTAACAGTGTCACCTTGAGCTGTAGGGGAAATCTAACAAGCATTTTTGACGATGGGTGTTTCTCAATGTCGAGGACGCTTCCTTGGTAGGACATGTCTTCCGAGTCACTTCCTTCAGAAGCGAGGCAAGAATCCTTCCTAGCCTCGGAAAACGAAGTATGGTGGAACAGGCTAACAGGTGTGCAGGTGTGCGTCATATGCGAGGCCCCGCCTTAAATGGAGCGCGATTTCCACCAAAGATTTGGAAATTGGTCCGTGCGCAAAGCATTGTGGGGATTTTAAGACCGCGGAGGATACACATGTGCAGCCTCGAAATTTCTCGCTCCGAAGGAAGCCGGGCTCGGTAGAATTCCAAGGAGCCTGGACATTGGAACAGTCCTTCGGCGGGACTCGATGACGTACATGTAGCATTCTTGAAATAGTGGCTCTGGAGCAGCCTTCCTTGACATTGAGGAACACCCGATATCTGACCTTTTTTAGACAAAACAACAATAATAAGCAGGAATGAAAATAATAATTAGTAGCAGCTCTTCTGGGAGTTACCGACAGAAATGGGATATAATAAATGTCAATAAACAAACACTTCTTAAAATCCATACTGGCTTTTCAATGTCTTTCATACAGTACAGTATGAGCACAACACAGGTATTACATCTAATTATATGTGTTATTAAAACATGCAGGAAACACTGACTGAATTTAACTTTAAACCATTTTTCCTTTATTTATATTCCATTATATTTGACCGTTACCACTTTAATTTGGTTTAAGCTCGTTAAGCTATGACTCTTGTTTCTTGTCATAAAAATGTTCCATAAAAACCACAACAGACTTTGTACCTCGGCCCTCTGTTTACGGTCTCTCTTATCTTAACACGACTGCACTGTGCTGAAGTTAGGAGGAAAACATGATCAACATAACGCAGTTACAGAGTCTTAAAAGTTTTATTCTGCTACAGCTGTATGAAAACATCTTCAGCTGCTGCACACGTTTGTCTGGACCAAGATCTCAATATATTAAAAATGTTATTGATCATATGACTTTTCCTTTAGTGTCACCCTCAGGACAGACTTCACATTACCTTCAATCTTAAAACCAGCAAATCTCACTATGATTGTGGTTCCATTAAACACTAAAGTACTTGATATGTTATGATAATAATCATATGAAATAATAATAATAGTTATTATACTATGTATTGCAGTTGCATTTATATATACACACAACATATATATGCCTTTTTTTAAATAACATATTTTATGCTCGATAGATTTGTAATATTTGTATGTTATAGTGTTAAGTGGATATTTGAGGCCCACGTCAATATTTCAGGGATTAAATCTGGTACTTATTTTTTTTAGGTTTAACACAGAATACAAAAAAAAGGGTTTTAATTTGGTCATAAAAAATTGTGATTTTACAGGGTAAAAATAAATGAGGTGATCAAACTCACAGGAAATGTGTAGATGTCACTGTCATTCATACAAACATATTTCTGATGTTTTATAGACAAATCTATTAATACATTTCTGTTGCAGCCCCACTTGTTTTATCAGTCAGGCTCTTACTTACAGGGAAGCTCCAAAAGGTACTGTTATCTTACATTAAGATTAAAATATAAAAAGTGGTTAGAAGTTAAGTTTGGAGTCGGGCTCTGTGGATATTTACTTTAGTTTGAATGTGTGTTTGGTGGCGTGATCATTATTATTTAGAGTCATTACGTGCCTATTGATTTGAACACGATCCGTGTATCCATCATTTCCTGGTCTTCTCTAAAGAAGAGGGACCAATGAAAACGTTGTCATGTTGCCGTTGTTCAGCATGGAAACATTCATTAGCTAACAATGACATTATTGTTCTATTAATATAAAGGGAGGTCAGGTACTCTTTAAAACAGCTGCTAGTTATGGGTACTTTTTACTTAAGTACATTTCAAAGCCCATACTTCTTTACTTTAACTTGAGTAAAGAAGTTTAGTCAGTACTTCTACCAGAGTATTTTTAAACACGAGTATCTGTACTTCTACTTGAGTAAAGGATGTGTGTACTTTTGCCATCTCTGTGTAGTTGAAGCTGGTGAACCCCACCCAGTACCGGTTCGAGCACCTGGCCACGCAGCTGAAGTGGCGTCTGCAGGAGGGCCGCGGCGAGGCGGTGTATCAGATCGGAGTGGAGGACAACGGGCTGCTGGTGGGCCTGAGCGAGGCCGACATGAGGGCCTCGCTGAAGACCCTCAAGAGGATGGCAGAGAAGTAGGTCACATGATTTCAGAGTCTGTATCAGCACCTCTGGGTGGAAAGGTATCTCTAAAATATACAAGTTTAAAAGGTTTTTGAGAACAGTATAAATAAGAAAAGCATAAGGTCTCAAAAAGGAACATTTGTGGTTTTCATCCTAAAGTTTTTCTTACTTTTTTTCTTGTGCGGTCTGTTAGTGCGTCCAGTTAAATTCACCAAACTCTCCTCAGTAGTACAATAGACAAAATTGTCGTAAATTTCTCGTTTCAGTCTGATGAACTGCACCTGCTCTCGAAGATTTCTTGAGATGTGATCCTTAGCTTAATCTACGACCCTTAGAGTGCCAGTTTTTGGGAAGTGTGTGTTAAAAAAAATGCACTTTTGGCTGGTAATCAGACAATTAACAAGTATTATTTGGTAAGATGGAGTAATTTGGTTACCATGATGGTAATGTGGGAAATAGAATATCACTTTTCTATCAAACTCACCTTTTATGTGCATTTCATTTTTGTTGTATTGATACAGATAGCTTTGAATTTCTTAGGCGGGATTTATTTCCTTCCTATCAGTAGGCCACTGATTTGTTTACTGTGATTTACCTCCTGCAGGTTTCACATCCGTTTTTCATTTGTGCACTAAAATAAATTCAAACAGCTAAGTAATAAAATATTCTTGAAACTGATAATCTACTTTGGAAAATGGTGGACGATGGTGTCAAGCGTTTTGTAAGAGGTCTGATCTGGTTTTCTTTCTGGGTCTCATCAGAGTCGGTGCGGACATTACTCTCCTCCGAGAGAGAGAGGTGGACTACGACTTGGACAGAAATACTCGTAAAATCGCAGAAGTCCTGGTCCGAAAAGTTCCCGATGATCAGCAGGTGAGTCCGTCCTCCAGGTTTTGTATGAGCTTAAAAAGGCTTTTAAACCTTTAGAGCGTTTACTTGGGATAAATTGGGATGAGTTGAACTGAAAGCCAGGTGAGAACGTTCTCTCCTCTCATTGGTTGGATGTGTATGGGTCAAAGCAAGAACGTACACAAAATAAAAACGCCAGAAGAAGCTCCTATCTGCTCAAATATCAAGAAGCCATTTCAGGTCAGACATCACATTATTTCTCAGATTGCAATAATTATTTGCGAGGTGATCGCAAATAATTATTGCAATCACCTACTTCATGCAAGTACACCTGGTAACTGGAGCTGTTTAGCCTAAATTCTGCTTATCATTTTGTCAGGTCAAGGTTGGATGACGTTTATGCCACTAACAACCTGCTCTAGATTACATTTGTAACCGTACCACCTCCTCAAAAGTGTGATGATGCGGCTGTATTGTCCACACTGAGTCTTACTTAACAGTCTAAACACTGTTTTGAAAAGGCCCTAAAACATTCAAAAGGACGACAACATGAAAAAACCTCACCTAGGGCGGAGCAATATCATGTCAATACTGTGATATGAAACTAGATATCATCTCAGATTTCTAATATCGTAATATAGCATAAGCGTTTAATTTACCTGGTTTTAAATGCTGTATTAGTACAGACAGTTTTAGCGCTTCTATATTAGCCTTTTTACCGCTTAGTCATTATATCCACATAACTAATGATTTTTCAATCAACATTTCATTGTGTAATTATTTTTGGAAAGCACCAGTCAAACCTATGATTGTTGCAATATTGATATTAATGACCAATACATCTATCAAATTTGATTTATATATATAGAGTGCTTTACAGTGTGTACTTAGACCCTTGCAGCAAACGAGGAAAAACTCACCAAGAATCCTCACGCTTAATGGGGAAAATGGTATAAAACTTGGAGAGGCAACAGAGGAGGCTCCCTCTCCCAGGACGGACAGACTTGCAGTAGATGTTGTGTGTATAGATTAGTGTCAGTGTGATATTTGATTCTCTCCATGTCACCCATCCCTAACCTCGCCTGAAATGTACCTCACCTGCAGGCAGCAGCAGGCCTTCTTTTTAAACAGGCTTGTAGTAGAGAGTAGACTGTGACCCCTCTCCTGCGTCATGTTGTTTTGGACTGGGGCAGTTCCTGGACCTGCGGGTGGCGGTTCTGGGGAACGTGGACTCGGGGAAGTCAACGCTGCTGGGCGTCCTGACGCAGGGAGAGCTGGACAACGGGCGAGGACGAGCGCGGCTCAACCTCTTCAGACATCTGCACGAGATCCAGACCGGACGCACCTCCAGCATCAGCTTCGAGATCCTCGGCTTCAACAGCAAAGGAGAGGTGAGAGAGACACTGATGGAGAGAGGGGGGGGGGGGGGGGGCGGGGTGGTGTGGCTATGTGTAAGAGGTTGGTTGCTGACAACGCCACCTGGGGGAGTTTCGCCCCCAGAAAATGACTAAAACTAAGGTCTTATACTTTTAAGGACAATCAGGATCCTTTACACCACGGGCAGAGACAGTTTAAGGGTTAATATCAAAGTACAGAATATCTAAAAACACCAGACACAATACATTTCAATAAAATCCACATTTTGTGTTTTCACTTAAGTAAAAGGTCCAAAGCATGATCATCAAAGTTACTTAAATAGCTAAAGTGAATCAACTTATTGATGATGCTGGTAAAGGACATGCTTTTTTACACACTGCCAGGTAGATTGTGACATTTCGACATGGGATCAATAAAGTTTACTATTGTTGTATTGTAATTTGAATATACATATCTATCTATAGCTATATGTTCTGTAGACCCACACGCAGAGCAAAATGGAGGCAGTTCTTAATAGCTTTATTAACATAAAAAAGCTGGTACAAAAAACGGGTCAACCCACAACTAAGGTAACAGGCTAAGCTAAGGTAACAGGCTAAGCTAAGGTAACAGGCTAAGCTAAGGTAACAGGCTAAGCTAAGGTAACAGGCTAAGCTAAGGTAACAGGCTAAGCTAAGGTAACAGGCTAAGCTAAGGTAACAGACTAAGCTAAGGTAACATGCTAAGCTAAGGTAACAGGCTAAGCTAAGGTAACAGGCTAAGCTAAGGTAACAGGCTAAGCTAAGGTAACAGGCTAAGCTAAGGTAACAGGCTAAGCTAAGGTAACAGGCTAAGCTAAGGTAACAGACTAAGCTAAGGTAATACAAAGGCAAAGTGGCAAAGTGACAAACTAAAGGAGATCACTGGGAAAAACAGGCATATACACACAGACCAATCACATCTACAAGACACACACAGGTGATCACACACACAGGTGGAAAGAATCACACAATCATTAAGGGCGGGAAAACGACAGGAAGTGAAACAAGACAAGACAAAAAGGAAGTTTACAAACAGGAAACACAAAAACCAAAATCAAGATGCAGTTTGCAGCTTTAGTCATAAATTAATGATTTCATTTCTAACATGTTTTTTTCTTCATAAGATTCAAACAGTAACCTAGTTCAATTTGTATGAAATCAAGTAAAATACATTTAATTTACACAGATTGTTAAGTGTTTAGTGTTCAAACTTAAACCTTAACAAATACAAAATATCAATATGAAACATACAGTTTAATATAATTGTATACACTGAATGCTTCCTTTGTCAAGCTACACATGGATTGCCCCCAGGTTTAATACATACTTTTTAAATATTAAACCTGGGGATCTCCAATCTGATAAATATATGATTATGACACTGGAAGCTGTTCCAATGTTTGAGAGTTATTTTAAAGCGTCTGATGACCTGTGTTGTGTTGCAGGTTGTGAACTACAGCGAGTCTCGGACAGCGGAGCAGATCTGTGAGAGCTCCTCTAAGATGATCACCTTCATCGACCTGGCCGGGCACCACAAGTATCTGAAGACGACCATCTTCGGCCTCACCAGCTACTGCCCCGACTTCGCCATGCTGGTGGTGAGCGCCAACACCGGCATCGGTGAGCCGCACACACACACTTTACACACAGGAAGAAACACAATCACAACAGTGAGCTGCACACACACATTACACTCAGGAAGCAGAGAAATTATTACATTTTTTTCAATTTTCTTCAATTTATTTCAATTTATTTCTATTTTATTTTATTTATTTATTAATTTATATTTTATTCAACTTTTTAAAATTGTATTTACTTGCACTATTTTATCTGTTTTATTGTGTTGCACTGTTGGAGGATAAGATAAGACAAGATAGTACTTTATTGATACCAATTTGGGACATGTTTGTGTTGCAGCAGCATAAAAGACATGGCATTGTACAATACAAATTAAAAGACTAGAAATAAACAAGAAAGTAGAAAATATACATGTTGAATTTACAAATGAACAATAACAAGATATAAAGCAAGGTATTATATATACATAAGTGACCTAAGATTTCCATCGACATAACTACACTGTAGCTACAGTATGTACACATGACAATAAAAGCCTTGAAACTTGAAATCACAACATTCATACCTGTGTGATTTTAAAGACGTCCTGGGTACCTCTCGGGGTGGGAGATATGACATCTTCTGCCATGGTGTGTTAGTATAGAGTAGACGTTGACTATGTTTACATGCACACTAGTATTGCACTATAATACGAAAGTTTACATTTTTGCAGCGACTTCAGGAAACAAACAAACGCCACTAAGAGGCCGAGGGCGGGCCTGGTTTCCTTTGTCTGACGCGCTGTCCAAACATAAGTTGCTGAGAACAAAAATGCATTAAAAAATCTTAATGTAATGACAAATGAAATAATCAACTTAATACAATGTGCACAGAAACATCTCCCCCTGTCTTCCATACACACCTCACAAAGGTGAACTGGTGATTACTTTCAATATATTCACTATCAATATGTAAGAAGTGCCTTCAGCTTTTATCCCAAACTGTCCCTCAACATTCAATACCATATATCCATCATGCTGGAGGAGAAATTAAAAACACAGTAAAGTCACCACTAGAGGTCAGAAGTGATCTGTGTTAAAATTAGATTATTCTGAGCAAGAGCGGGTTTATTATTAGAACTCAGTCAATTATTAAATATGCCAAAGAAAGGAAAGAAAGATCATAAAAGATTAATAGATAAATTAAGATTTTAGGAGGAATCAGGAAACATTTTAAAATTAGTTAAACAATCCATTTCATGCCACGTGTTCCAGGCTGCATTCAATTCATTAGATATATCATGAAAATCCTGCTGGAAAGTACTGATGAAATGGGGTATAATGTTAAATATTTAATATAATTCCTATTGGTATTCAAACATACTTTGCACTTTGCCAATATGTTCTTGAAACAGGAATGAAAAAGACCTTAAAAGTCTTACATTTAAATGAACAAAACTGAACCTTGCAGAAACCCTGTAACCCTTGTGTGTATAATTGAGAAGAACCTAAATGCATTTTTAGATGCATTAAGACTTCTCATAACAAACTATGAGTTGCTGATTTCAAATAGAATACAAGCATACAAATAAACAATAAGTAATACAAAAAATAATAATAACTAGACACATAAAACCGCTTTTTGCGTGAGATGCTCTCCTGGTAGCTGCCAGCTGGTCTCTGGGTAATGAAGTCCTTTATTCTGATGTCAGCATGCTCACAGTGTTCCCGCTCTCCTCCGTCCAGCCGGCACCACCCGGGAGCACCTGGGCCTCGCCATGGCGCTGAAAGTTCCCATCTTCATCGTGGTCAGTAAAGTGGACCTGTGCTCCCGCGGCACCGTGGAGAGAACGGTGCGACAGCTGGAGCGCCTCCTGAAGCAGCCGGGCTGCAACAAGATCCCTCTGATGGTGTCTGGGGCTGATGATGCTGTGACCGCCGCGCAGCAGTTCACCCAGTCTGAGTGGTGAGTACAAGCACTACTAATACTACTATTAATACAACTACTACTGCAGCAGTTCACTCAGTCTGAGTGGTGAGTACAAGTACTACTAATACTACTATTAATACAACTACTACTGCAGCAGTTCACTCAGTCTGAGTGGTGAGTACAAGTACTACTAATACTACTATTAATACAACTACTACTGCAGCAGTTCACCCCGTATGAGTGGTGAGTACAAATACTGCTTATACTGCTACTAATACTGCCTCTAATGCTGCTTAAGTCACTCAATCTGCATGCAAGTTACAACACTACTAATATTATTACCTCAGCCGTTCACTTAGATTGCAAGGTGGGTACAAAGACTGTTGAAACTGCTATTAATACTTCAAATACTGCAGTCTGAATGGTGGGTACATGCATTGCAAATACTGCAGTTAGTACTGCATAATTCACTAAATCGGCATAGTGGGTACAAGCACTTCTAAGACTCCAAATACAACAGCTTCTATTTTTTTCACATAAATAAAAATGCAGTCGCTGTCTGTCGGTATGGTGATGTAGTGACAGCAGGTGTGTCACATGCTGTTCAAGGTCGTACAGGACCAGCATTGTGTCTGTATTCCTCACGCATAACGGAACCACAGCAGGGAAGTTGTAGCCTTCGTGTTCATTCACAGAATCAGGCCGATGCTGACATTTATTTTTCACTTCTGACAGAAAGAAACACATATTTAGTTCCCGTGTTGGTGAGGATGCTGTACGAGCTACACAACAGGAAACACTGAACAGATCCTGACCACTAGCAGTGAATCTAAATTGCTTTCACACCTAAAGCGGTTTGGTTTGGTTCTCTGCTCTGTTTTATTCAGATTGTTTAGCATGGTTTGAGGTTCATAATCAATATAACACCTCCCTGTCCTTTTTAACTAAACAAGAAACATCTTTTTTCTCCAGTTTCTTTTTGTGATTATTCAGAATAACACGTCTTCTAGGTGCAGTCATGACTAATAAAACGTAGTCAGCCATTTTCTTGCTGAATCGTTTTGACACAAAGTGTACCTGCTCTTTGAGAATATGAACGTGTGAACAAAAGATTTAAACTGCATGTACCATTAGAAACCATAAAGGACACACATTTTATTAACAATCGGTCGTAATTAGTGACGTATTATTTAAGAAAAAGGCTGGTGTGGATCACAACAGTACACAAGCATATCATATTTTGGTTTGAGTAAATAACCCAACAGTAATACAACAAAAAGAACCCTTATACTGGGTCGTAAGGGTTAATTGGTTGATTTAAATTGAAATAATTGATTGAAGTTGACCCATTAGTGCTGGTTTCATATTGATTCAGTGATTTGTATAGGAGGTAATTTGGTTCACTTCAACCTCGGTGCTGCAATCAGAGAAAATTGGCCAAAATATCTTTAACTTGATCGAAAAAAAAATCGAACAAACTGGTGCTATAATACGATTTGGTGAAACCACCGATCGTGGCAGTTATATTGAGATGAAATTGAGCGGTGTCCGCCTCATCTCTGGCTGCAACACTACATTATATACTATATATTTCTATACAGAATTATGACTACCTACAAAAAGTAGGTAGTCATAATTCTGTCTCAAGCCGTGTATCAATCAAGAAACACGGACCGTATCCAGCGCACAGAATCAAATCACAACAACTGGGTCACACATACAGGATATTCATTACTTTCCACCTGAGAACGACCACATTATCCTAGTGATTTGACCTTAAAAACACAAGCTAATTAGAGACTATTAGAAAACTGTGTAAATGGTCCCAATGTGAAACTTTAATGCACAGCAGGCGACCAATCAGGAAGGGTTTCAGAGCTCAGTGTCAACAATAGTTCAGTACAAGCTTCCTGTGTTTATGTTGTTGAGTGTGGGAGTATCCTGAACTGTGTGTGTGTGTGTGTGTGTGTGTGTGTGTGTGTGTGTGTGTGTGTGTGTGTGTGTGTGTGTGTGTGTGTGTGTGTGTGTGTGTGTGTGTGTGTGTGTGTGTGTGTGTGTGTGTGTGTGTGTGTGTGTGTGTGTGTGTGTGTGTGTGTGTGTGCAGCATCACGCCCATCTTCACCCTGTCCAGTGTGTCTGGAGAGAGTCTGGAGCTGCTGAAGGTTTTCCTGAACATCCTCCCTCCACTGAGCAACAGCAAGGAGCAGGAGGAGCTGATGCAGCAGCTCACTGAGTTCCAGGTACACACACACACACACACACACACACACACACACACACACAAACACACACACACACACACACACACACACACACACACACACACACACACACACACACACTAGGGCACACCTCATTACCCCATAAACAGCCTTTTGAGGTTCCTACTGAATCCGGGGTTCTTTGGAAAAGTCCTTGAATATAAAACGTGAGTGTGTGACCGTGTGTGTGTGCGTGTGTTTGTTTGCAGGTGGATGAGATCTACTCTGTTCCTGATGTTGGGACAGTAGTGGGAGGAACTCTGTACAGGTAAGAACAAAACACAGATCATATGAGGTTTAAAAATTGCTCCGTAAAGTTACGTTTTTTAAGGATTAAAATAAACCGGTTGTGTATGGTTGCTGTGTGTGTGGACTGTGCAGATAAACACGCCATGAACTAATGTCTCTTTTAAAAACTTGCCTGCACCTCTGGAACAGACAGAGTATTTCTCTGCGGTGTAACAGTACTGAGTGTACAGTATATCAAGTGTAATAACCCTGATGTGTGTGGACATGCCATAAACTAATAATCTGTCTCTTTTAAAAAAACGTGTACAAGAGAATAGTTTTCTGCAATGTACTGTAACAGAGTGTATATCAGTAATAACCCTGATGTGTGTGTTTCAGTAATAACCCTGATGTGTGTGTTCAGCGGTGTGTGCAGGGAGGGCGAGCGGCTGGTGGTCGGTCCGACAGACGAGGGCCGCTTCCTGCGCCTGAAGGTGGGCAGCATCCAGAGGAACCGCTCCGCCTGCAGGGTGCTGAGAGCCGGGCAGGCCGCCACGCTGGCTCTGGGGAGCTTCGACCGCTCGCTGCTGCGCAAGGTCAGAGGTCAGAGGTCACAGGACCGTAAGACTTTACAGTATCTGCGTGGTTTTATGTTTTGAAACAGAGAGCACAGATTTGGTTTCTTCTTCCTGATCACCACCAATCAAAGTCCAAGAAACTTTTAATGCTACAAACATTTATTTCTTTGAATTAATTTAATGCAAATTCAGTTGTTTTAAAGAATGAATGGCTTGTCTTCAAAGCAAGGTCAGAGGTCACGTGACCGAAGTATGATTTTATCTTGTAAAATAGAGACCACAGATTGTGTTGTTTTTGTCCGGATCAACGTCTTTTAGCCAGATGACACTTTAGGACGTAAGAGCCCAGTTTAAAACGAGTCCAAGAAACATTTGAGTCCGAAAAAATGTTTCACTCTAGACTTGTTGTGTAAAGAATTTTCTGGGCTCTGTGTTGCCTTAACTAAAAATGTTTTGAAAGTGAATGTGAACTGATTAGGCGCGGATTCATTACGTTAGCATGCTCTCCTAAAATTAGCATTACAATGTTTACACGGTAGCGTTTCCATCTCACATACTATATGCTCTTTGACACGGCAAATATTGCACATCAGAGCGTAGCTGAGTAACATCACTTGTGTATTTATTTCAGCTTTCTGGGGTTATTTGTGTGTGTAATGACTTCACAGCTCTGCTACTGACTGATCTAAGACCTTCAGTTTTGTTCTTGCAGCAAAATATAAATATATTAAAGAAATAAAACCTTTCATTTAAACTTGTCACTTTGTTATCACCCAGAAAAAACAATGTACACATCTAACAGTACTAGTGAGAACGTATCTTTATCTGAATTTAAACATAATGAATAGACATGCAAAAATAAAAGAATCTGCGCTGCATAAATATGTTGATTTATATTCAAATGTCTTGGTTATGAATGGAGCTCTCTCAGTATTGGGTGCAGCCCTGACAGTGTGTTGTGACACTGACGTGTGATTGGCTGTTGCAGGGCATGGTGATGGTCAGTCCCAAGATGAACCCGACCATCTGCTGTCAGTTTGAAGCCGCCATCGTCCTGCTCTTCCACGCTAAGACGTTTCGCCGGGGGTCGCAGGTCACCGTGCACGTGGGCAACGTCCGGCAGACGGCCACAGTGGAGTGCCTTCATGGGAAGGTCGGTCTGGAGGTCATATATAGAGACCATGTGTCAAAGTAAAGGGCCCAGGGGACAAATGCGGCATCCAAGCAAATATTGATCCAGCATATTACATTTTGGATCAATACATTTTGGCCTGAAAGACAATTTTTGTAATGTTTCATCACAAAAGAGATGTCAGGAAATAGGTCTACATATGTGGCTGAAATAGGTAAGATAAGATAACATAAGAGGTACTTTATTGATCCCAAATTGGGAATATTTTTACGTTGCAGCAGTATCAAAAACTAGGCATTGCACAAGTAGAAAATTAAAGAGTAGAAATAAGCAATACTAGAATTTGAACTTCTCAAAATATAATTAAAACAGCATTAAAAAGTAGAAAATATACAATAGACTGTGAAGATAAACAATAAAACACTATTGAAGGTGTGTTAAACTGTATGGTTGACTGCAAAGTTTATTTGTAATTTCTATTGTTTAGATGCAGACGATTGCATGTCAGAAGCCCGGCCTCAAAGATCTTTGACTTAAAAAAAAAAGTCAATACCCACAACTATTGACTTTATCTTAGCCTAATTGTTCAAATGTAATTATAAGGCTAGTATGGTTAGGGAACTTTTTTATGGGCATTTTTTGGACCAAAATGTATGTGATATATAGAGTGGTGCAGTTATAGCATTTTAGCATTTAACTATCAACAAACTCATTATCCGTGATTTAGGACTCATACTTGCGTCACTCTTTATTGGATAAGCATCAATATAATCAGAGATAATTTATTTTAGTTTTTTCAATTCAATAAAAGCCTATATATATACTATATGACCAGCTCTTAATGTGATTACAATCTCCTTAGTGAAATTGAGTTTTACCGACCCGACACAGACCATGTGATCTCCCTCTAGTGTCTGCTTTACAGAGGGGGGAAGTAGTGGAGTACAAATACTTTGTTACTGTACTTAAGTACATTTGTCTGGTATCAGTACTTTACTCCACTACTTATTTTTCTGACGACTTTTTACTTTCTACTTCTTACATTTTCCAAACAGGCTGGTTCCTTTAGTTTGAATGTGTGTTTGGTGGCCTGATCATTATTATTTAGAGTCATTGCGTGCCTATTGATTTGAACACGATCCGTGTATCCATCATTTCCTGGTCTTCTCTAAAGAAGAGGGACCAATGAAAACGTTGTCATGTTGCCGTTGTTCAGCATGGAAACATTCATTAGCTAACAATGACATTATTGTTCTATTAATATAAAGGGAGGTCAGGTACTCTTTAAAACAGCTGGGAGTTATGGATACTTTTTACTTAAAGGTCCCATCATATGCTTTTCCGGTTATTACCCGTCCCCTTGTGTGTTATGAAGGTTTTTCTGCATGTAAACGGTCTGCAGAGTCACAAACCCTCAAAGTACACCCTGTAGAGTAAAACTCTAACACAGAAAATACCTGTCTGTGCTGCCCCAGAACGCCTCGTTGGACATTTCTCTTTTTCCATTTCTCTTTTCCATTTTTTCCTTCCGGGGCCTATTGACGTAACGAAGTCCAAATGGACCAATCCGCGGAGCTCCACACACACACACACACACTCACTCAGCCTTATCTTTTCTCAGCCGCAGTGCTGCGCGGAGCTCCGTACACACACACACACACTCGGAGCTCAGGTTGTGAGTGTTTCACAGATGCATTCTCATCTGTTTGTCATTACTGGTGTCATTTTCTGGTTGCTAACAAACGCCATTGTAACACATAATCACTGATGTTCAGCTGTAACGGTGGTGGACTCATCAGAACAGAGTGGGCGAGCTGACCAATCAGAGCACAGTGGGCTCACAGGGAGGGGGGGGGCAGGAGCTCCAACAAGGCGTTTAGGACAGAGAGTGAATACACATACTATACAGAGATGCTGTATGTGAAACCAATGTGAGTTTGGAACATTGCACAATGTAAATCTATTCTAGTAGACCTCAACAATGGAATTATGATCAGTAGAAATGGCCATGACATGGGACCTTTAAGGACATTTCAAAGCCCATACTTCTTTACTTTTACTTGAGGAAAGAAGTTTAGTCAGTACTTCTACTTTTACCAGAGTATTTTTAAACACGAGTATCTGTACTTCTACTTGAGAAGTAAAGGATGTGTGTACTTTTGCCATCTCTGGAGGGGGGAGGGAAAGTAGGGATAGAGAAGGGGAGAGAGAAGGAGCGAGAGAGAGAGAGAGAGAGAGAGAGGAGAAGAGAGAGAGAGAGCAGAGAGCGAAGGAGAGAGAGAGAGAGAGAGGGAGAGAGAGAGAGAGAGATAGAGAGAAGGTAGAGAGAGAGAGAGAGAAGGAGAGAGAGAGAGAGAGATAAGATGAGGAGAGGCGAGAGAGAGGATTAGAGAGATCTCTCTTCTCTCTCTCTCTATGCTATCTATAGCGCGCTCCGCTCTCTCTCTCTCTCTCTCTCTCTCTCTCTCTCTCTCTCTCTCTCTCTCTCTCTCTCTCTCTCTCTCTCTCTCTCTCTCTCTCTCTCTCTCTCTCTCTCTGCAGGACGAGCTGCGCACCGGAGAGAGAGCCGTGGTTCGTTTCTGCTTCATCAAACATCCCGAGTACCTGCGACTGGGCGCTAAACTCCTCTTCAGGGAGGGGGTCACCAAGGGCATCGGTCACGTGACCCGCCTGCTGCCCCCTTCCCAGAACCACGACCAGAACCAGAACCACGACCAGAACCAGCAGGAGCATTAAACCCCCGATCTGACAGATGTTGAGCTACGTGAGAACTCTGACCGCTCAGACGTCATTGAAGCTGAGCGGCTTCACTCCCCCCGCCATATGTCGCCGTATTAACCCCCCCCTCCTGGATCTACACTTCGGTCAAAGAGTCAGCCATCATCATCATCATCATCATCATCATCTTCTTCTTCTTCCTCACAGCAGACGCTCGTGTCTTGAGTTAAAGCTGCCTGACCTCAGTGGGTTTAAGCCCGGACGCTTAATCTGATGTTGTGCCACGGTTTTGATTTAGGACGCTCTTTTTCTCGTGCGGCTGTCATGAGAAGACTGAAGGATTATTTATTTTGGGAGGGGGTGTTTGAGGAGGAATGAAGAAAAAGATGTGACTCTGGATCTGTGCTGAACTCAGAAATGTACCCTAAGACTTTATTTGAAATCTGAAGAGGGGGATTATTTCCATTCGGAGTTGGATTCTTTTTTCTGAGGTGTCGTCCCATCAAACATTTAAGATCATAATGATGGCTTTGCATGTTCCAGCCCATCAACTGCAAAACACCGTAATCCGCAGAGCGAGGTGGGGTCAGGGGTCATTTTCTGACAGTTTGTGTGGATATTATGACCAGCACCAAGTTAATGTAGGAATATGAAATGCACTTAAAGGTGGATTTTAATACTGAGGTGTTTGAAGCTACTGTTATTTACTTTGCCTTAAATTTCATTAATCTTCTAAATACTTTCTAACGTCATCAATACATTCATTAGGCCAAAGAACTTCAGAAATAGTAAAGAAAAATCTTGTTTTAAAAAAAATAAAACGCCCAAATATTCAGTTTAAAATCATCTAAAATGGAGAAAAGCAGCACATCTTAAACCAGAGACTGATTTACGGTTAGATCCTCAACTAATTGTCTCAGGACTTGACTGTTCTGACAGTGACTTCACTGAGGCTGGAGCCACACGAGGACGATAACGCAAACGGACCGAAATCGATATCAAAAAAGTCTCCCGTCCACACGCAACAGGCACCAGAAACGTGTCCGTTCACGCTGGAGACGCTGTAGTACATATGGGTGTTTTTCATCTGCTGGTGGACTACCGGAGAGATTTACAGCAGGAGCAAACGCTTGCCTCGGGGAGGGAGAAAAAGAGCCAGAGCGTCCACAGAAGAATAAACAGAAGGGCAACCATGGCAACCATGCGCGGGAAGTCTTCTTCGCTGCTTTTGTGGCAGGAGTACAGCGCCACTTACAGGCCCGGCATATGTACTACAGCGTCTCCAGCGCTTTCGAGCGGTCTCGTGTGAACGGACACGTTTCTGGTGCCTATTGCGTGTGGACGGAATACTTTTTTTATATCGATTTCGGTCCGTTTGCGTTATCGTCCTCGTGTGGCTCCAGCCTAAGAGTTTTGCTTGGAGAGACAAGTAGGTATAGTTCCGATTTTACCCTAAAACCCTAAATATATTTGAGCAGATAACACGTGATGTTTAAATAAAGTCCCCATGTCTTGGTGACATTTTCACGCATGAATTTGAGCCCAAGACAATAATAAATTAATTGTAACTGTTCTAGAAACAGAGATTCAGAGTTCTAAATGGAGGATCTTTTTAACATTAGCTGCGTTACACCGTCCATTTTGATTTTTAAAGCTGCTCTGCACAAGTACAAGCTGCTGCAAAAGACAACACAATGCCGACAAATACATCTCTTAAGTAAGCAGTTGACTTTTCGCCGTAGCTCTTCACCTCTCTGCATTTCATGATGACACTTGGATTCTGCTATGATACTTTAAGTGAACATTTTTAATCTGAGAGCATAAATGACTATTTTGTGTGCACAAGTTAAATCAAAATGACTCCTGCAGTGCTCCATACAAACCACAAGAGTTCAGACTGATGAGATTCGACAGGATTATATACGGCAATCTAAAAGAGACCCTACTAGCTCATTTCATTTACTCCGTTCTTTTGCACTTTATTCACTTTTAGTCGTTTCTGTCCGTTCACCTGGATCCTCACAGAAACCACATTTTCCTGTCTTTTTTCCCACAATAATCACCATTTTGGGAGGTTGATTTATTGATGAAATGTCGTAGGAGGTTTTAAGCATCCGTTAGCTATTTATGGGGAATGAAACAATGCAGCTGAGAAGTGTTGGTTTTCTACTTTACAGCCTTATGTTCACTTTGTACAGATTCCTGCCGTCCGTTCAGCTCTTAAACTCAAGTTGCTTTTTGAACTGTTGTTCAGTATCTGCATTTACAAATGGCTGACACGGAAATATTTGCATCTTGGTTTCCGGTTTGTTCCGTCTATCCGTTGATGTTTTAGTAGGGTTTGATGTACCAGGCAGCTTATTGCAGCGACTCGTAACCGGCATGCTCTCTGACTGGCAGAATAAACTCTAATATTTTCATTTAAAGTGTAAAACAATATATACAGTGTGGATTTTATTTTATTTTTCTGAGATTCTGTGCAATTGTAAAACTAAATATCGAATGTACTTTCCATGGATCCTGGGTAGCATTTGAAACTGCTTACTGTCAAAATACTGTTGACTTTGCACTTTGTATTCTGGTTCTGCATGTGTGTTGACGGCGGTGTCGATCTGCTGATTCTGAAGAACGATGAGGACGCTGGACATTTCAACATGAAGGAGTGGATTTATCAGTTTGTTTTTCCTGACAGTCCCTCAAACTAATAAATAAACCATTGAAACAACATGACTGAAACATATTCCTTCTGATATTTCTTTAAAAGGGCCATTTTATGCTCAATTTCAGGTTCATATCAGTATGTAGTGTCTCTACTTTAAAGAGTCCTCTCCTGCTGATGTTCAGGTGTATATCAGTATGTGGAGTCTCTACTTTAAAGAGTCCTCTCCTGCTGATGTTCAGGTGTATATCAGTATGTAGTGTCTCTACTTTAAAGAGTCCTCTCCTGCTGATGTTCAGGTGTATATCAGTATGTAGTGTCTCTCCTTTAAGAGTCCTCTCCTGCTGATGTTCAGGTGTATATCAGTATGTAGTGTCTCTACTTTAAAGAGTCCTCTCCTGCTGATGTTCAGGTGTATATTAGTATGTAGTGTCTCTACTTTAAAGAGTCCTCTCCTGCTGATGTTCAGGTATATCAGTATGTAGTGTCTCTACTTTAAAGAGTCCTCTCCTGCTGATGTTCAGGTTGTATATCAGTATGTAGTGTCTCTACTTTAAAGAGTCCTCTCCTGCTGATGTTCAGGTGTATATCAGTATGTAGTGTCTCTACTTTAAAGAGTCCTCTCCTGCTGATGTTCAGGTGTATATCAGTATGTAGTGTCTCTACTTTAAAGAGTCCTCTCCTGCTGATGTTCAGGTGTATATCAGTATGTAGTGTCTCTACTTTAAAGAGTCCTCTCCTGCTGATGTTCAGGTGTATATCAGTATGTAGTGTCTCTACTTTAAAGAGTCCTCTCCTGCTGATGTTCAGGTGTATATTAGTATGTAGTGTCTCTACTTTAAAGAGTCCTCTCCTGCTGATGTTCAGGTATATCAGTATGTAGTGTCTCTACTTTAAAGAGTCCTCTCCTGCTGATGTTCAGGTGTATATCAGTATGTATATCAGTATGTAGTGTCTCTCCTTTAAAGAGTCCTCTCCTGCTGATGTTCAGGTGTATATCAGTATGTAGTGTTTCTACTTTAAAGAGTCCTCTCCTGCTGATGTTCAGGTGTATATCAGTATGTAGTGTCTCTACTTTTAAAGAGTCCTCTCCTGCTGATGTTCAGGTGTATATCAGTATGTAGTGTCTTACTTTAAAGAGTCCTCTCCTGCTGATGTTCAGGTGTATATCAGTATGTAGTTGTCTCTACTTTAAAGAGTCCTCTCCTGCTGATGTTCAGGTGTATATCAGTATGTAGTGTCTCTACTTTAAGAGTCCTCTCCTGCTGATGTTCAGGTGTATATCAGTATGTAGTGTCTCTACTTTAAAGAGTCCTCTCCTGCTGATGTTCAGGTGTATATCAGTATGTAGTGTCTCTACTTTAAAGAGTCCTCTCCTGCTGATGTTCAGGTGTATATCAGTATGTAGTGTCTCTACTTTAAAGAGTCCTCTCCTGCTGATGTTCAGGTGTATATCAGTATGTAGTGTCTCTACTTTAAAGAGTCCTCTCCTGCTGATGTTCAGGTGTATATCAGTATGTAGTTGTCTCTACTTTAAAGAGTCCTCTCCTGCTGATGTTCAGGTGTATATCAGTATGTAGTGTCTCTACTTTAAAGAGTCCTCTCCTGCTGATGTTCAGGTTCATATCAGTATGTAGTGTCTCTACTTTAAAGAGTCCTCTCCTGCTGATGTTCAGGTTCATATCAGTATGTAGTGTCTCTACTTTAAAGAGTCCTCTCCTGCTGATGTTCAGGTGTATATCAGTATGTAATGTCTCTCCTGTGACATGTCTCCATGCTTCAATGTTCAAAAAGCTCTTTATTCTTCTCATACTGCCTGTGCTGCAGCACCTCTTTTCACCCTCTGTCTGAAACCAGAGCCCAGTCTGCTCTGATTGGTTAGCTGGCCGGCTCTGTTGTGATTGATCAACCGCTTAGAGATGTCCCGCCCCTTAACCATATCACGTACAATGTGTTGGAGCGCTAGCCAATAGAAGCGCAAGTGTTACATATTGATGTCACTATGTTAGGGAAGTAATGGAGTCCATTGGAGGCGTTTCAGGCAAAGGGGGGGGACAGGGATTTTAGCCTTTGCAGACCCTTTACATGCACTAAAACCTATAACACACTATAGGAAAGGGAAAACGCCAACAAGCATAATAATACCTCTTTAAATTATTTAGATTTCTTGGGTGTAACAAAGAAACATTGAGAAGTTGTAAATATCATTTTATTTAGAAAAATCATCTTCGTATTTCCCAGACATGAAGATATCAGTTTCATATCTGTGTTTCCAGAACAGAGAAAGGTCCAACGTGTGTTTAGCTTAGCTTAGCACAAAGACTGGAAGCAGGTGGAAACTGTTAGCCTGGCTGAATCAAACATTAAAACGTGCATCCTCTGATTTACGGAGCTTTGGACGTGATTTGAGTAGATCAGGCTTTTATTTTGGAAAACGTAATTATCCAAAAGAAAACACAGAGCTTCCACATTTCAGGCATTTGTAGAAAAGTCCTCAGTTCTAACAAAAAAAGATTGATATGGGATCAGAATTGATCAAATAAATGAAAGAAAAATGTAACAAAATATGTTTCTGGCTTAAGTTGTTAGGTGACAAACTTGTAAAAAAAAAACACAAATATAAATACAATTAAAAAGACAATAAAACAATGTTATTGTCTTTTAAAACAAGTGCTTTTCTTTAACACAAAGAACATTATGTGATCGGGGAACGTAAATATCAAACTAACATTAAACCCATGTAATTGTCTAAGATGGATCTGATTGAATTCGTAAATGTGCAAACAATAAAAACTGAAAAACACATGACCAAGATAATCATTATTTGTACGACAGAGCCCCAAAGAAACAAAGGGTTAGTTTAATTCTGTATTATCCTGTTAGCACAAGTAGCTTCCATGTTCACACTATTTACTTTTGTGATCGAACAAGTTTCTATTTTGTAACTACAAGTTTTTTGCCTCCTCAAATGATGATGTCGTTCACAAGTGATTGTCTTGTCCACATATTTATATATAATTTTGGGGGGATTTTGGGGCTCCATACAATACAAACAACACCTCTTAAATGTGTGTCATGATTTAAACATTTGCTTCATTTGTTCAAACTAGTGGATGCTTTATTAAAATCAAGGGATCGTAATTTTAAATACTTCAAAAAAGTCGAAAAATAAATAAATGGTGGACTTTTGGTTTAAGTGCCACTTCCTGTATTTGAATTCTAGCTCTGGGACAATTGTTGACTGTCGCTATTTAATCAAATAAAATGAAACCGTAGATAAGAAATAAGGATGAACAAGATGAACCTGAAACAATCTTCACATTTTGAGGCTTTGAGACAGATAACAAAATGAATTTGATGCATTGTCAAAATCTGTTCATTATCACCACAGGAAGCTTTTATTGTATCTTCTGTGTCTTCGGCAGTTCATCGGGACATTCTTTGTGCTGAAGTTGAAAAACCAAACAGGTTTTAATGGCAGTTCAGGAAACATCTGTCTCTCTTTTTCTTTTCTTTTCACCAACCACCTTGAGTCCAGAGGTTTTGAAACCCCTTCTCACAACGTTTTGGTTCTTCTGAGGATTTGTCGGCCGTGCGTTAGGCGAGGCTCCTCTGCCGCGGCTTGATCCTCAGATACAGCTGGGAAATAAAAGGGAAAAGAGTTCCCATTAAATAACCATTAAGATAACATTGAAACACTGAAATAAGACTGTTGAGTAACAGGATTCTCAGAGCTGATTCTCAACTCGATTGAACACATGGAAATTACACACAAGGAAACTGGGTCAATTGAGATTGAATGGGACGAAAATCATTATCCATTTTCTTTTAAAGGGGCCCGATGAAACTCATTTCCAGGTTCATAGTAGTATTGTGTGTTTCTACTGTGACATGTCTCCATGCCTTAATGTTCAAAAAGCTCTTTATTTGTGTGGGAGAGAAACTCCCTCTGGAGGAAAACGTTGGGATGTTAGCCTTTGCAGACCATTGACATGCACATAAACATTGTATACAAATGAAAATGACTGATTTAGAAAATAATAAATCCTATTATATCCTATATTATGCAACTGTGGAATTATAATTGATTAGTTTTCACAGACATGACGGTAATCAAATATGTGTGAATGTCATGAACCTGGTCAAATCTGCACACGTGGGTCTTTAGACTTAAACATTGTTGGTGCCAAATGTTTTTATTTCTCTATTATTAGTGCTAATATATAGATATTTCCAGGGAACATCATAGGAAATAATGACAAATTACAGTACCTTTTAAAGGTCCCATGTCATGGCCATTTCTACTGATCATAATTCCATTGTTGAGGTCTACTAGAATAGATTTACATTGTTCAATGTTCCAAACTCACATTGGTTTCTCAAGCATCTCTGTATAGTATGTGTATTCACTCTCTGTCCTACACGGCTTGTTGGAGCTCCTGCCCCCCCCCCCCCTCCCTATGAGCCCAGTGGCCGTCTGCGAGACAGCGAGACACAGCGAAACCCATCCCGAAACCAGCCCGAACACACACACACACACCCGCAGCCTGGCTGGGAGTTTGTGTGTGTGCTCACACACCGACTCACAGCCTCGCCGCGTCCCGCCGTCTCAGGGAGGGGAAATCGGCGGAGCTGCAGCTGAGAAAAGATTGAGTGTGTGTGTGTGAGGAAGTAAACGTAACGGCTCCGCGGACGTAACGTAACGGCTCCACGGATCGGTCCATTTGGGTATGGGCACGTCACAGTACCCAGGAAGAAAACAAGGGAAAAAGAGAAATCTCCAACGAGGCGTTCTGGGGCAGCATAGACAGGTCTTTTCTGTGTTAGAGTTTTACTCGCTACAGGGTGTACTTTGAGGGTTTGTGACTCTGCAGACCGTTTACATGCAGAAAAACCTTCATAACACACAAGGGGACGGGTAATAACCAGAAAAGCATGACATGGGACCTTTAAAATGAAAGTGACAGTAACTTTGCACAGTATTCCACCATATAGACCTACAGTCTTCTGCATGTCTATTTTCTTTGCTCTGCCATTGTTACTATTCTATGAAAAGGCAAAGGGTTACAATCTATAAATATAATCTCATAATAGCTTCAGCTTAAAATCATTTGCACAAACTGCTTTTGTCTATATTCTCTATTGCATTAGGAGATGACCTCAGTGCAGCTCCTCACCCCCAGCATGTTTCGGGCTTTTCTTCACGTTTATGTTTTTTACTTTTGCCATTTTTAATTATTCTATGAAAAGGCATTAAATCTATACAATTTCGCGGAAGGTTTACAATCTGAAAATATAATCTCCTAATAGCTTCAGCTTAAAATCATTTGCATAAGCTGCTTTATGTCTATATTCTCGATGTCTTCTATTAGACATGCTGAAGCGCGTTGATCTTTGCACATACTGCTGTATTTACGCCTCAGTGTATTTATTTGTATTCATACATTTGACATCTATACTTGTATATTTGTATAGAGCATTTATTGTGTGCAGACTGCTGATAGATGTGTATATAACTGACTGTTTGCACTCTGGTTAGACCCTCTTCATTTCATTACACTCTGCTTGCATTATGTAATGACAACAAGGTAATCTATTCTATTAGCAGATGATCTCAGTGCAGTTCCTCACCCCCAGCATGTTTCGGGGGATGTACCCCTCGTGGTCTCCACACCGGGCCCACCACCAGTCGGTCTCCGCCTCCTCGTCCCGCCGCAGCACCGTCATGCAGTCGCCCTCGCTGAAGCCCAGCTCGTCCTCGCTCTGCGCCTCGTAGTCCCACAGAGCGTAGACCACGCCGCGGTTCATCACGCCCATCTTCTCCTGGACGCCTGCGAGGGACACGAACACAGAGGAGGGGAATGAACGGTTGGAGCTATATCATCATCATCATCATCATCATCAGCTTTATTGAAGAGACTCTAGGTCAATTTTTAAAAGACATACAACACTCAAATATAAATTAAAAAAGGCAGTTATACCAATGTTTCCACAGAGGTGACTGGTATCGTATATATCTCTTTATATTATTTAATACTTAAACATTTGTTTTCTTACTGTTTATAGCAAATGTATTCTTAGTTATTGTTGGTATTAAAGTCGTTTCTATGCTTTTACCTTGAAGGCCGTTTTGGGCACCGGGTGATTAGAGCACCTGGTGCAATTGTGTATATATTGGAGACAGGAGGTGTGAACAGAGCACTCGTAGGCACATGGGTTTTTATCAGGGTGATTCAAGCCTCAAGAAAGGAAGCCATAGGAACGGCTAAAGGAAAGAAACCTGATGATTGTTCTTTGTTAAAGATATTGGATCATATAATAGGAGGCGTGTGGTGCAGTGGGTTAGTGCGTTGGTGTTGGGATCAGGGGAGCACAGGTTCAAACCCCACTGCAGTCAGCATGTCGTTGTGTCCTTCAGACACTTCACCCCAAATTGCTCCTGTGGGGATTGTCCACAGTATTGAGTGTGTAAGTCGCTTTGGATAAAAGCGTCTAACAAGTGACATGTAATGTAATAATAAATGCACAAACGGAGATTCTTGTCTGGACCTGGATCATTCCCCTGCGTAACATTCGCTAACTGGTGCCTCAGCAGCTGTGTTATTTTAAGTTATCTGTTTTATTTCTATATGATTTTGGCCGCTACATGAATCATCTCAACTAAATCAATTACAACGTGTTAATAAGTGTTTGCTTTCTGTCAGAGAGTAGTATTACAAGTTTGAGTTTTGAGTAAGACCCCTGAAACCACCTTGAAGCAGCGGTTAAGGTTAAGGTTAGTTTCTTTATAAAGCACGTTTCAGACACAATTCAAAGTGCTTTACAAAACAGCAATAACACATCAGAATTAAGAACAACATGAATTGAACAAAAAGATAATCCATAAAAGAGAAATTAGTTAAAAATAGACATTGCTAATACACATAATGCTGCAAGAAGTGCTGAAGCGCATTGATAAAACATATAAAACATAGTTAAAGGACCCCTGGAAAAGCTGCATTTCAGCCTTGATTTAAAAGAAAGGAAGTGTGTTCCAAATCTGCGGAGCATAAAAACTAAAAGCTGCCTCAGCAAATTTGGGTCAGACCCTGGGGACGACGAGTCAACCCACAAGTAAAAGTAGTGATACAGAATAGTAAAAATACTCTATTACAAGTGAAAGTCAAAATATTACTTAAAGTGGACCTATCATGCTATATTTGAATAATATAGTGTAGGACCATACCTATATAAGGCATATTTATACTTTTTTCTTTTCAAAATACCAAACAGATCATGCATTTTAGCCATGCCTCATTTTGCTCAATTTGCACTTTTTTATCCCTGTTTTTGCAAGGGCAGATTCTGTGAGAACAGCACCATCTACAGGCCTGGCATATGTACTACAGCGTCTCCAGCGCTTTCGAACGGCAATGGCCGTGGCTGTCTCCTCCTGATTGGTGGAGTTGGGCCAATAGCCGTAGCGCCACCGTCCTGACGTCAGGACAGTGTTCAAATCTGGATCAGTTTTTATCAGATCCGTTGCAGCCCCTTTTTTAGAGATTTGGGTATGGAGGAAAATAGAGAGGGTTGTGTTTTCTGACACTTGGTGAGTTCCCTGGAACACCGGGGACACATATTCATGTATAAAAGACGTACAAAAGTGCATTTTGCATGATAGGTCCCCTTTAAGTAAAAGCACAAAAGTACTGGCATCAAAATATACTTAAAGTACCAAAAGTGAAAGTAATCTCGCTGCATAATTGCGCATTTCAGAATCATATATATTAAATTACTGTAGCTAAAATCCACTTTTCTGCAACTCTTTTCTGTCATATTTTATTTGCTGTTAGCATGTTAGCATTTAACCATTCTAACTATCCTGCAGTGAATTGTTTTCTCACCGTAGAGGAACTGCGAGCACTGGGCGTATCCGTCCTCCATCTCCTCACATTTGTCGGCAGCCGTCTGCATGTCGCTGTACGTGGTGGCGAACACCGCCGTGCCCGACTCCACCAGGAACTTACAGACCTGCACGTTGTTACAGGAGGCGGCGCAGTGGAGGGGGGTCCTGCAGAGGGGAGGGGGAGGAGTATGGTAAATAACTTAAAGGTCCCCTATTATACTGTTTTTCATCAATATATTATAGGTCTCAGATATATACAAAGCATGTCTCTGAAGTGTTTGGCTCCAAACACCAAACAGATCATTGCAGCATCCCATAATCCCCTCTGTTTCAGCCCTGTTTCAAAAGTGCTGATTCTCTGTCTGTTACTTTAGATGAAAATAAGGAGCCCCTCCCCACGCCCCTCTGAGAGATATTTGGTTAAAGAGAACACAATGGTGCTCTAGGAGGAGATTCAGGTGATAAGGTGGGGGGGGGGGTTACCTTGGTTAGTGATTGGCTAATGGTTACACAAGCCAACATATCGTTATGACATAAAGTGGCCAAAATCTGATCAGCTCATTTTCAGACAGGTTTTTATAAAAATGGATCAGGACAAAAAGAGAGAGAATCTTTGTTCCTGAAACTTTCAGAATCTCTTTACACAGAGGGGACACATGTTGATGTAGAAGAGACGTGAAGAAGAGGGGACACATGTTGATGTAGAAGAGACATGAAGAAGAGGGGACACATGTTGATGTAGAAGAGACGTGAAGAAGAGGGGACACATGTTGATGTAGAAGAGACATGAAGAAGAGGGGACACATGTTGATGTAGAAGAGACATGAAGAAGAGGGGACACATGTTGATGTAGAAGAGACATGAAGAAGTGGATTTTGCATGATAGGTGACCTTTAAACCCAGAGGTCTGCATCATCTTCCTCATCTCTGAAGATTTACGCGGGGATTCAAATAGGTGCAGGGTTTCCTCAGATGCGGAAATAACACTCCAGCTAACTCAAAAGTCACATTTTCTCTTAAATAACAATTTGTAATCTTATTTCAAGTAAGAGTGTCACAATTATACAACTTGAAATAAGATGAATGCACCTGAAATGAAGGGGATCACATGTCAGGTGAAAAATCTAAAACTACTTTTGAGGGGAAAATACTATTTTTGATAATTTCTGCCTTCTTTTGTAACACAGTATTTCCTGATTCTAGTCAAATATAGTTTAAAATGGTTTTCCCAGCTAATTTCATGATCTCATTTATCTAAATATTGCAACTAATATCAGGAAATCTTAGCGAGTGGATTTTCACTTGATCTATTTGTAGATTTGTTTTACTTATTACAACTGAAAACACCTTGCAATCATAATTTTTCTACTTGTTTTTGAAGCATTTTTTACAGTGTAAAGGAGCATTTCAGAGCTTTGTAGGATGATGAACATTAGGAACCAAATCTTTCTATAATGCTAGCTACATAGCTGCCTTCATGAAAAGTAGCAGCAGATTAATGACCACTCAAATGGAGATAAGCATGCATCAGATGTCAGCTGCATTAAGGGAATAATAACCCGTAAATCTAATTATTTCTTGGCTCAACAGGACTAAAGTTAACATCTTCTGATTTGACTGAAGATGACTGGACAGTGATTTTGTTTCTGATAACACTCACCACCCGTCGCTGTCAGCAGCGTTGGCGTTGACACCAAACTGAACCAGAAACTTGACGATCTCCGTGTGTCCGGCACAGACGGCGTTGTGCAGCGCGGTGATTCCCTCATCGTTCGGCATGCTGGGGTCCTCCACCTGCAGGACGCACAGGGGAGGACGCATTGGAGTCATTCATTTCAGCGCAATATTCAATACACTTACAAATTATTTAAAGCACAACATTTTCCAAACATTCCCGGCAGACACATCGTCTAAATTGTTACACTAAAACAGAAAATACAAATTAACATTTTAATAGATTTTGAAAGTCACATTCAATAGTACCAGAAAAAACACATTTAAATATAGCATCATGCACCAAAAGCCAACATGTTTAACTATGCCATGATGTCAATTATTACATATGTCAAAAGTACACACATCCTTTACTCAAGTAGAAGTACAGATACTCGTGTTTAAAAATACTCTGGTGAAAGTAGAAGTACTGACTAAACTTCTTTACTCAAGTAAAAGTAAAGAAGTATGGGCTTTGAAATGTACTTCAGTAAAAAGTACCCATAACTAGCAGCTGTTTTAAAGAGTACCTGACCTCCCTTTATATTAACAGAACAATAATGTCATTGTTAGCTAATGAATGTTTCCACCATGCTGAACAACGGCAACATGACAACGTTTTCATTGGTCCCTCTTCTTTAGAGAAGACCAGGAAATGATGGATACACGGATCGTGTTCAAATCAATAGGCACGCAATGACTCTAAATAATAATGATCACGCCACCAAACACACATTCAAACTAAAGGAACCAGCCTGTTTGGGAAATGTAAGTAGAAAGTACAGGTATTTGTGTTCAACATGTAAGAAGTAGAAAGTACAGGTATTTGTGTTCAACATGTAAGAAGTAGAAAGTACAGGTATTTGTGTTCAAAATGTAAGAAGTAGAAAGTACAGGTATTTGGGTTCAAAATGTAAGAAGTAGAAAGTACAGGTATTTGTGTTCAACATGTAAGAAGTAGAAAGTACAGGTATTTGTGTTCAACATGTAAGAAGTAGAAAGTACAGGTATTTGGGTTCAAAATGTAAGAAGTAGAAAGTACAGGTATTTGAGTTCAACATGTAAGAAGTAGAAAGTACAGGTATTTGTGTTCAACATGTAAGAAGTCAAAGTAAAAAGTGGTCAGAATAATAAGTAGTGGAGTAAAGTACTGATACCAGAAACATGTACTTAGGTACATTAATGAAGTATTTGCACTCCACTACTCCCCACCTCTGTATGTACTGCATGGAGATAATTCGCTGTTATACTCAATCTAACCTCAAGTACAAAATGAATGATGTTAAATCACAAAAAAGACCCAGACAGCAGAGGGACTCACGTCGTAGATGACCCTCTGCACCAGGTCGTACTCGCCCTCCAGAGACGCGTCCAGCAGCAGAGCCAGAGGGTTGAACTTCACCCGCATGCTGTGATCGATCCGCTCCGAGCCGGGTTTACGGAGGATCGTCCTCTTACCCTGAGCGAGAGGGAGGACAAGTCAAGGGTTTTAGAGAGGACAATGGTTATTTTCAGGTTTAATATGTGTTCTGTGTCTCGACTGGGACGTGTCTCCACGCTTTAATATTCAAAAAGCTCTCTATGTTTCTCATACTGCCTGTGCTGCAGCAACCCTTTTTCTGTTGTGATTGGTCAACAAGAGATGTCCCGCCCCTTAGCGTACACGTACAATGAGCGCTAGCCAATAGAAGTGCAAGTGTTACATAGTGATGTCACTATGAAGCAACCATTGATAAATTAAAAGAGCAGCGTTGGACATGACGTCAAAAAGGCCCGACTCTGAAGAAAATACCCCGAGATCATCCGACAGTTTTCATTCATCACTGGGCACATAGAGCATGCGCACTTTTGTTTCCGTCAGCCTCTCCTCCAATCAGCTGCAACAAGAGGGGGAAATAACTCTGGATTTGGCTTTTAGTGCAACTTTAGAACTTTAAGGCTAATCAAGTGTTCGCTTATGTCTGTATGTATAAATGTGTGTGTTGATTGTGAATATATATAGAGGTTAGGGATGGGAATTTGAAAGCAAATGTATATTCGAATATTCGACCCCCAAAAAAAAGGTTAACCGAAATGTACATATCCTATAAAAAAAAGAAGAAAGGTGGGAAATTTTGAAAAATAAATAAATACATGTTCAAGTAAGTATAGAAACCAAGTCGAATTTGTCAAATGTATTGAACTGGTGATCACAGTTTGAACAGTTGACAGGTATAGGCCTACATCTTTCATGCTTAAAACATAACTTGGTTTTGGGGGGTACTACACGAACAACATAACGGGTTAGGGTAACGTAACCCTATCACAACAGAGATCAAGCTGTAACAGGGCCTATGCACAGAATGCAGCTATTCAATACTCATTCTTGTTTAAGAATATGAGCATGTCTCCATGCTCAGGGGAGAGGCGGGTGCGGAGGCGATTCACAATCAGGCCAGCTGTAGAGAAGACCCTCTCAGCTGGAATTTGGGCATAAGATGAGGTTTGAGTCTGTGTGATCTGCGTGTAGGGAGGGGCTTTAGGGCCATGTCATTAGCTAGAACTAGATCTGATGGATTTGGACATAAACGCGAGTGAAGTACCGGACGAGAGAGAGAGAGATCAGCACCTGCAGCTCTGCCCGCTGTGAGCGGAGCAAAACACACCTTTAGGCCGAACACACTTAGCTATGGCACTGTCATATACATTGCATTATTCCATTTGATAATATGTAATCAACTTAGGCACCCCTCACAAAAAAAAAAAAATTACAATAAAAATATTCATAACTCATATTCTCATATTCAAATACCTGAATAATTTCAAATATTCGAATATTCGATTAATCGTTCCCATCCCTAATAGAGGTATATATATTTGTTATATATCTTTGTATCTCTCTGTCTGCACACACACTGAAAGATTGACTTTGTACTGGGTAGTGAAGCATCAATCAAAATGGATGTATTATATAAACAAATGAGCCTCTCACCGGGGGCGACGGCACCTGACCCGTGACCTCCGGCGGCTTCATATTTGTAACGTCCTCCCCCTGATCCGCCTCCACACAGGTGGGGTAAGGTGGAGGAGGGTATGGGGGGAACTCCTTGTGGACGGATGAAGATCGACACACCTCCTCTTCCTCCTCTCTGTCCTCTGGAGGCGTGATTGGTGAGCGAGGAGGTAAAGGAGGCGGAGTTAGGCTTTCTTCCGTGCTTCCCACCTGGTTGTTGTCGTCAAATTTGGACATAAATTCAACGCCGTCTTCGTGAGGCTGAACTAACAGCCCTCCTGGACCCACTGTCTCCATGGGGATGGTTTCCATAGCGGCCAGAGTGGTTTTCTGGTAGAGCAGCTTCTGGATGTTGGGACCGGCCGGGCCCTCGGGCTCTGTGATGGAGCTGCGTTTCTTCAGGGGTCGGGGCGCGTGGTGCAGGCCGCTGGGGTTCCTGTGGAGGTTGGACAGGAAGGGGAGGAGCTTGGTGGGGCTCAGAGGTCGCGGATTGGCTCGGTCTCCAACTCCAACGTCTGCAACGATGACTTCGTAACTGATGTCGGTCTCGCCGCCGTCGGGGAAACACATCCCAGAGTTCATGATGTCTGAGGGGGGAAACTGCTGCCCCCCGTTCGCTGGGAGCACAGGTTTCCCATACACTGTGAGGGGGGGGACACAACAGGAAGTATTAGTGAAGAAACAGCAAGTATTTTAATAAGCGTTCCAGCATGCAAGTCATTTATCAACCAAACACATCGTCTGCTTACAGTTACTCCAATATGAAGACTTCCTGATTTGTTTTGTTAACTGTAAATCTTCTTCGAGTTTTTATAGTTCTTGTTAGTTGGGAGAAAATAATCAAGAGTTAATAATAATATTTGAGGGAGTTGTAGTAGCTCTAATTGTATAACTGACACAGACTCAATCTTAAGGAAACATCATTATATGAATAAATGCCTGGAAAATGCAGAAAAGATCTTAAAATAGAATAACCAAAGTGTACATTCATTTTAGTCCAACTTATCATCACTGGATCCCATTAGACATCCACCAAATGTAATCTCTTCCTCCTTGTATCAAGGAGTCCCTAATATAAAGTCATTTCAAGAATGGGACATGTGGAAACCAGAACAAGATGGTGAACTTTATAATAAGGATTTCACTATATTTAGGTAATGACTAAATTGAAACCTAAGGTGCCACAATTTAAAGGACTCGAGACTCTACCACTAGTTCTTAACTGAAAAAAAGAAACCACTTCAACCACCAAAAACCTAATTAAAAATGGTTTAATTAAATGTATTTTTCCCCAACTTACAACAAGTGCATTCAACCATGAAGAAAGCAACTCAAAAGCAGGAACCCTGCAGGTGCATTTCCTATGAACCCAACCAGATTAGGTGCTACTGCATGACCTTAAAGTCAAAGTAATAACAAAACAGTAACTGTCTGTTGTTTCCTCACCTCTGGGCTTGGTCCTGGGCAGCGTCCCCCCCCCCGGCTGGTATCCCTTCCCCTGCGTTGTGTACATGGAGTAAATATACGAGGCCGCCAGAGTCTGAGGTTTCTGAAGCGGTGGGGCGAGGGCCTCCGAGGGGTCGGGGGTGTAGGGTCGCACGGCGGCGACCTCATGCTTGTTGGGCAGCGGCAGAGTGTTGCTGTGGCTGGAGAGGTGACCCCCACCCCCCCGCACCTTACCGGGGAACGTCCCCGTGCTGTACGGGGGCTTCGAGAAGGTGGGGGGGCCCGACGTGGAGAACGGTTTGGGCTTAATGGGAATTGGAGGAGGCGCCGCCATCTTGGAAAGGCCTTTACCAGAAGCCTGGAGGAGAAAACCGGAAAAGGAGTCAATCATATATTTCTTATTGAAATGAACCGAAATCAGTTATGACATAATTTATTTAGATTAAGTAGTGGGAAACATACAAAAGTAAAAGTAAAAGTAGTTTCATCCCACAGGCAATAAGACTGTTAAACACCTGAACTTTGAAACAACATTCACAACATTCATCTGGCTGCTACTTAGAAATGATTTATCTAATATATTGCATATAGACTCTTATTGCACTGTTTTCACTATTTCACTTTTTTAACTATTTTTTCTTTTTGTATTTACTATTTACTATTTACTATTTACTTGCACTATATGTTTCTGTTTATCTGTGTTATTGTGTTGCACTGTTGGAGTGAGCCTGTGACCTAAGATTTTCATCGTCCTAACTACACTGTAGCTATGTTCGTATGACAAAATAAAAACCTTGGACCTTGAAAGGCGTTACTCTACTAAAATACATCCTGAATTTCAAAATGTTACTCACGGGTTAACTTTTATTAGTAACATATTGAATTACATTTCAAACTGCTTATTTTAGAGTATTAGATTATTCCGGGGAATTCTGCTGATCAGAGATCTGATTTCCAAATGTAATGAGAGGTTGATCCGAAATTAAATGAGCTTTTATTTAGAAAAAGTCTCCAAAATAAAGAACGGTTGAACCCATCATTATAGTCAGTACCTAACTGAGAGTTCCTGGTTTAATATATTTCAACACAATCATCCTGGTAATACTTCTTTGATTTTACCTTCTCAAACAATAAATAATCATAACGTTTGTAAAAGTGATAAATGTAAGTCAGATGATACCTGATTGTCCCTGAGCAGGTTCTCAGTGATGTGATTGGTCCGTGAGGGGACAGGGGGCGGGATGTCAGACCCTGAGAGACTCCTCTGATCTGTGAGAATCTTACCTCCTACAAGAGGGATAAAAAGGTCATCACCATCACCATCACCATCACCCTTATCCTCATCATCCTTATCCTCATCATCACCATCATCATCATCATCATCCCCATCATCCACTCCAACATGTTCTACTGTTTCACATTTCTAAACACGCTGTTGAAATCCTCTACTGAAGTAAAAGTACTGTGAGAACCAGGTATCTCTAAAAAGTCAACTTCTTATGAGTTTCTAAGAAAAGCAGCCCTGTTTTCAGCTTCGTGACGATACATTTAACAGTTGATCCAAGAGGGTTTTCAAATACTTTATTTAGCTCAAAAAGTAGGATCATTTTCAACCTTCAGTTCATCACAAAAATTCAATTCTGGAGAGACACGTTTTTCACTGAACGGGAAGGCCATGAAGAATTATTATTTGAAAAGCAACTAGTAAGAAGTACACATTTTCCCTTTGAGATGTAGAGAAGTAGTATAAAGAAGTATACTCAAGTAGAGTACTAGTACCTAGATGTGTACTAAGGCACTGACCTGAGTGGTGGCAGCTGAGGCTGGACATGCGAGGCAGCGTGGAGGAGCTGTACCCTCCACTGGACTCAGACAGAGAGCCGCTCCAGTCCGCGGGTTTGGTTACTTTTGAGGAGCCGAAACCTAGAAAATAAGAGAAACTTGTATCTAATACACTCTTGGTAAACCTGTGTCAAAAATATGCTTTATATTGCATTTTAATTTAGATTTAAAGGTCACCTATTATGCAAAATCCACTTTCTCATGTCTCTTCTACATCAACATGTGTCCCCTCTGTGGAAAGAGACTCTGAACGTTTCAGGAGAAAAGATTCTCTCACTTTTTGTCCTGATCCATTTATATAAAAACCTGTATGAAAATGAGCTGATCAGATTTTGGACATTTTATGATGTCATAACGATATGTTGGCTTGAGTAACCATTAGCCAATCACCAACCAAGGTAACCCCCCCACCTTATCACCTGAATCTCCTCCTAGAGCACCATTGTGTTCTTTTTAACCAAATCTCTCTCAGAGGGGCGTGGGGAGTGGCTCCTTATTTTCATCTAAAGTAACAGACAGAGAATCAGCACTTTTGAAACAGGGCTGAAACAGAGGGGATTATGGGATGCTGCAATGATCTGTTTGGTGTTTCAGCTAATCAAAGACAGGTTCTGTATATATCTGAGACCTGTAATATATTGATGAAAAACAGTATAATAGGGGACCTTTAAATAAAATAAATATCCTCTTTTCTCTGTCTTTTGTAACTGCTGTACCTGAGGCGGGTTTGAGGGGTCTGGGAGGCGGCTTCAGAGACGAGGCGGGCATGGGTAATGTGGCGGTACCGTCCGGGTACGCCGGCTTCACCAGAACCTCGTGCCGGGTCGGCACCGGAGGCCCATGTGAGCCAGAGGAGGAGGACTGGATGTACGGCCCCACCGCCGCCACTCTGGAGCCCACAGCGTGCTGAGGGGCCCCTCCGTCTGAAGGCACCTGCAGGAAACAGAAATATTTTTAGAGCTGCAGACATTTTGGTCGTTGTGAAGTATAATGCAGAGATGAAAGAAGGCCTTTACAAATTGATGCTGCAACCAAAGTAGAGTTCAAAAAGTGGACTATTTTTTTTATTTAAAAGTTGAGCTAAAATGATGAGTCAAATAAATGATTATCTGATTGGGAACATATAAAATGGCATCTATTTTTGGTGGTTTCAGGTAGACATTTCTTAATTCTTAATAATGTTTTTGGTTTGGTTGGTTGATTCAAACTTTTTTTTTTTTTTTTTTTTAATTGGTTACTTTGGTGTCTCTCTGGATAATTGTGACAGAACTGTTTCACTATTTTCAGAAACCATGTTGAAAGTTATCTTAACACATTACTTGAAGTTAGCTAATTTAGCAAATGAGGCTTATCCTGATTTCCCGCTCATTTTAAGTCCCTCCAGTAGAAAGCATCAACAGAATCTCTTTAGAACAGCAGTTCCCAACCTTTTTCAACTCGGGGCCCACTTAAGAATCTAAAAATCTTTTGCGGCCCACATTCAACCATAATTCACAATACGGAGGCTAAATAAAGTTCTGGTTGGTCAATTCAGAACATGTGACACGTTGTTAATCCAGTAGTAGGGATAATGGTGGTCTAATGGATAGTGAGGTGGGCTGAAGATCGGAAGGTTGTGAGTTCAAATCCCGCCAGGAACACCACCACTAGTGTGCCCTTGAGTAAGGCACTTAGCCCTTAGTTACTCCAGGGAGGATGTCCCTGTAATTGGTAATTGTAAGTCGCTTTGGATAAAAGCGTCAGCTAAATGTAATAGTACAGACCGCTGTCAAGGACTGTAATGACCGTTGCTAAGGAGGATCAAGAAAGAGAAAGAGACAGGAAAGGAGGTTCAAATAAAAAGAAATCTTAATAATGAAAATGTTTCCAAACAAATCATAATGTTTTGCAAATTATTTGGCGGCCCACAGGTTGGGAAACGCTGCTCTAGAAAGTCCAGTTTTTCGCTGCACTCACCGGCAGGTTTTCTTTCTGCTGCAGGGCGGCTTTCTTCTTCCAGAGTCGCTGCCGGAGCTCGGCGAGCCGTCGGTCCATCGCTGCGACCTCCAGGTTCCTCTTGTTCAGGCTGTCTCTCTGCTGCTGCAGCCGGCCGCTCTGATCCGCGTTCAGCTTGTTCCTCATCTGGAGGGTCAGAGAGGTGCTCAGTGAAAAACAGGTAGGAAGTGAGGAGGCTAATGTTGCAAGGTTAGCTAGTTAGCGTAGCTTTCCTGCTAAATTCAAATAGATAGCTTCTTCTTGTCGCATAAACTAGTGTGATGAAACTCCAAAATCATGAGTATAATTATAAAAAATTACTAACAGTTGACTAACAATGACTAAAAGTTGGTTTTCTTTTGAAATCAGCATCATAGTAGGTCCTATCTTCAAGGGAATTGTATAGGTAGGACAAAAGAGAAAAAGGTAGGATTTCTCACAACTGTTCAGTCTCAGTGTGAAGTCTTGTTTTAAATATATAATTTAGACTATTTTAAGGAGAAAAGAAACCCCCATAACGAAAAAACAAACAAACAAACAATGTCATCAAAGAGGGCCTTGAACATTTTTACGTTGAAGTTGCAGCTTGAATTTGGTTGCACAAATGCACCACAAATGTACCTCAAGGCCACCGTAGAATCTCCGACATGCTTGGAGGGGTTTTCAGGTGAATTCAATCTGCAACCTCACTAGTACTAGACGTCACTAAATCCTACTCAAAGTCCTTTAATTTAGAAAATGTCAGCCATAATGCTCAGTATGTTATTGTTCTGATGCTTCAACCTCTCACATTCATCCAGGTGCTCTCAAGTTATCTATGGAATGTTAAACAGTGGTGCTAATGCAGCTGCCCAACATAACCAGAGGCCATATTAGCCGAGGTCTCACCTGCAGCTCTTTATAAAGTCTCTCCAGCTCCGCAGCGGAGGAGGTGGTGTGATGATGAGGAGGAGGAAGAGGAGGCTCATGTCTGTTGCTCCTCAGAGTATCCAGCTGGTCGCTCAGCTCCTCCACCCTCGACACGGCGACCATCAGCTCCACCTGCTTCTGCTGGAAGAGACCCGTCATCTGCTCGATCTCCTCCACTGAGACAAACACAGAGAGAACAGCGACGTATGAATAAGAAGACTGGATTTATTTATATGAATAACTACTAATGTAGATATGATACATAGTTTCGTCATCTGCTCGATCTCCTCCGCTCACACAAACACAGAGAGAAACCATGTGTGAATGAGAGGACTCTGTTTAATTATATTTATATACATACTAACTACTGGAGATATGATACATAGTTTTCAGTGTTGATACAAAAAACAGGACTTTTAGGATATCTTATTTCCAGGAATATTTTTCGTATATATTATTGTTTGCTTGCCATTTGATTTGCACGGCTGAATCTGTGGCCACATTACGCATGTTTTAATGCCGGATTCAAAGCAGATATTGGTGCAGTTATCTGGATATAATTATGGAGTGATACTCATATATTTGATGTTGTTCAGATTCTGTAGAATAAATCACTTTTTTTCACAGCAGAACTTTCCCTGTGGCTAAAGTAAATCCAATTTCCTGTTTGATTACGTCTACTGTTCAGAGGCAGAACATTTTACTCACAAATGTGATTTAAGTAAAAAAACAATCATAAACACCCTCTGTGAACATGTCTCCTCCCAGTATTATTATGCATTTTCTATCTTTTATACATTAGACTACTTCATTCTACAGGAAACTGTCTATGTTCCTCTTTGAAGGCACCATTCGAAATGCCATTAATACTATTTCTTTTAACATAGAAACTAGTGCTGTCATTAGATCCAAATATTTAATCGGATTAACAAGTTTAAAAGAAACATATTTACTTGTAGTTTTGTTTTTTGCAGGTGCAAAACAAATGCAGGTATGGAAGAATGAAATGCTAAAAGCAGTAGAGATCAAGATTTTAATTATTTTATTTGTTACTTTTCGTTTTTCTGAGCAAAAAGGTCTCAGGGAGTGCTTAGTATTGCCCAAAACATCGATAATAAATTATATAAAAATAATCTCTGCATTGTTGAGTTAGTTCTAAGTGGTGTTGAGAATGTACAATTGGCCCAGTCCCTAAAACTGATTTTAAGCAACATTTTGCTGTGTTTCTGTTGCTAAAAATCAGTTAAGTCACTCATTCCTCCCCCACACTGACCCAGCTTGCTGTTGCTGAGGCGTTTCTGCTCCACCTGGCCCCTGATGGCTCGGACCCTCCTCAGTTTGGCCTCCTGGTTGTGAGCGTTCTCTCTGAGCTGCTGCAGGCGATCCTGTTCAGACGTTTCCTGCTGCTGCTGCCGCTGGTCCGTCAGCTTCAGGTGCCGCAGCCGCTGCTCCTGCTCCAGAACACACAGCAACCACAGTCAGGTTTAAAATCAATGCATGCAAGGTGAAGCCTGTGGAGCAGAAAGCACTAGAGTCCAGTCAAAACTAAATTAGTGCAAAGAGTCTGTTGACCACGCCTAAGTGCTGCATTGTTATATTTGTATTTAATAATTGTTCAAATAGTTTCAGTTTCAGTAAATTAAATATATTGTACTCAGTATTTCACATGAAAAGTTCATAAAGTTGAACGAAAAAAGAGGAAGGTTTTGAAAGAAGATATTAAACGATCTAATGGTGACTTCAGTGTAAGTATTTTAAAGCCGTTATGTGTACACTAGTGTTAAGTATAACTGAGAGAACAAAAGGTGGTCAAGAGGTAATTTTGGCCACAACATAACAGCAGAAAATGTGTTTGCAGAGATCAGCAGTATCCGATGGGTTTTGTCTATTTGGTGATATTAAGTGCTGCAGTGATGACATATCTTTTTGAGTATTTAATTACGTATTCAATGTGGTACACAACATCTGAAAATCTCTTAAGCTTGTGTTAACCACAGAGCTTATATCAGGCATCCAACCAAAAACCTGTTAAAAAAAACTTTGAGACGAGGACACCAGAAGTGCATCAAATGCTAACTCATAACCAGGTTTTAGGACTCATTCCAGCACACTCTATCATTAGCCGTAGCAATAATAGCAACATTAGCAGTGTGGCAGCAGTGTGTGTTGGGTGTTTCGTACTTTGGAGGCCAGCAGCTGCTGCTGGGCATTAATCTGTAGCTGCTGTTGGGTTGCCAGATCCTGCAGGTCGCTCAGCGTCATGTCCAGACGAGGAGCTGAGACCTGCAACACACACACACACACACACACACACACACACACACACACACACACACACACACACACACACACACACACACACACACACGTCAGAGTTCACCTTCAAATCTAAATAAACAAACGTTCAGAGATGCATAGGCCTACGGTGCAGCCTTCCCACCAAGACATGACTTTGTGTTCATTCAAATAACAGCACAGATGATGGAGGCTCTAGTGTGTGTTTGTATGTTAACTTATTTCAGTTTTTTGTTGGCAGTGTGCAGTAAATACTTTGACATTTTAGTTAGCAAGTTAAGCACCAATTCTTCCTGCAATAGCTCCAAAGCTAACTGTTGCTAAAACCCCCATGTGTCCATTTAGCTATTCTTATTCCACATCTGTTTCAAATGTATTAAAAACAAGCCTACTAACTTTACAAATAGACTGCATACATAAAGTATGTCAATTTGACAGACTTGGAGGTGTTTGAAGGTTGTTTTCACTCCTCTGTTGATGGATCTAGGCTAGCAGTTTCCCCTTGCTTTCAGTATTTGTGCTAAGCTAGGCTAACCCTTTCCCAACTAGACGCACAAAACCAGGGTTCTCATTAGACCTTAAATAATAGGGACTCACCCCGTTCTCCAGACATCTCTCCACAGAAGCTTTCACCTGGTTCCTCTTCATCATCTGATCTGCAGATCTGGATCCACCTGGATAAGAAAACACAGTGTTGATGCTAATGTTAGCCAAGTTAGCTGTGTGGCTCTATGGTCGATAGGTAGTGTTGATCAGCCCTGAAATGTTTTATAAATGATTGGATAGAGAGCAGTGCATTTTGGTACAGATATCATATGACAGACAGGTTTAAAGAGGCCCTCTAATGCTTTTTGGGGGTTTACCTTCCATGTAGTGCGTTATATCGTTTTTTTTTTGCATGGTCTGCAAAGGCTAAAATCCCAAAGTTTTTGTTTCCCATACACTCTTTATAATCATTTTCAGATTCACTTTATTTGTCTCAGTCTCCCTTTCAGGCAGGGTTTTTTTGAACATGTCACAGTGAAGGCACATAATACAAATATGAACCTGAAAATTAGCATGATAGGGCCCTTAAATAGCAATCCTCTGACTTTTCATCTAGCACTGTCATCATATCAAACGTTGTCCTTGTCAAATGCTTTGGTTTATGAACAAATATCTGCAAAACTAATGAACTTCCCATCAACTTGTGTTGTAATTCATCTCTAATCATGGGTGATGACACACACCGGTCTACCAGTCCTCATCCTTGGAGACGTAAACTTCTTGCAGCTCAAAACACAAAACAAAGAGCTTGGTGCTAAAAAAATAAATCACTTGCTAGAAATCAGTTTAAATTGAGCCTCTCTTTCTAGACAATACCACACAGGTCAGTAATCTGGGTTTTATGCTTTGTCCCGACATTACTTTCCAGAAAGCAAAGGTGGATTCATACGCAGCTGAAAATAGCCCTATATAATGCATTACACAAAACTACAATGACCACATGTAATTCACTTCTTCAGTAGGAACTAATGTGCTTGTAGATAAGAGCCATAAGTCAGACAGTATTGAGAGACACACTAACATTTGGGTCTCTGTTCATGGGATTTATTGACAATAAGAAGAAATAGAATAATACCAGCTTTATCCTCTTTGGTATTATTTGTATCCAGTGGTTTTACAGTATTTTAGGAATAACAACTTTGTGGAGATCAAGGGTAAAAATGAGCTGATGGAGCCACTGTCTACTCACAAAAAACGTAGAAGGGATTTTCTTTTTACAACGACATAAAAACGGGATCACAGTCCAGCACATGCACAATGGATTCCCTTCAGTCATAAGCTGATTACAGATCTACTTTATGACACACTGAACCTTTTACATGACTGAACATCCTGCTCTTGATCTGCACCATGTGGCAACAGAACCTCGAAATGCATAAAAAAACTGGATTACTTTAAATACTGAAGGCAGGAGATTATACTCATTGTTCAGTGATCTGGTTTAGCTTCACAGTCTGGTTGGCGGTAGATTCTCACATCTTCTGCACGTTTGACATATTCCTCTACTTCACTCCTGACAAGCACTTTTAAAGGGTATCATGCACATTTTCAGGTTTCACATTTGTATTTTGCTCCTCTACTGGGACATGTCTCCATGCTTTAATGTTCAAAAAGCTCTCTTTTTTTCCTCATACTGCCTGTGCTGCAGCACCTCTTTTCACCCTCTGTCTGAAACCAGAGACCAGTTATCAGATTGTATTTATAATTGAAATATTCTACTGTTTACATTTCTATTAATTCAATTTGATTTTGTTTCGTTGTTGTAATTAACCTATACTTTATGTAACATGAGTTTGTATTCTGAGCGAAGTGCATCTGCTAATATACTGAGTACTCAATAAATAAACATTTGAGTATATTAAATAAGGACATGGGCAAGGCCAGTTTTTATATGGCACCTTTCAACACAAGGTCATTCAAAGTGCTTCACAAAAAATAAAAGTCATTAAGAGCATTAAGAAATAGTGCAGCAGAAACACATTATAAAATGACATTTAAAAACAGTCACTAAAAAGCAAAGATAATAGAGTAAACAGAAAACATGAATAACACAGGTATAAAATACATGAATAAACCTGTCTATCAAAGCCTTCCCGAGACCTTGAGAGACGTCCCTTTCTTTTTTTAAATTCCCTGAATCTGGATTTTTGGTTTTTAGATTTCTTGAACCTATGATTTTAAACCAATTTAATTAAAATAAAGACTACAAAACAACAATTATACACTAAAAGTACAATGCATCAATTTACATATAGTATTTACATTTACACTGAACTGAGTCAGGAAGTCTTGCTGTGACTTGGCCGAGAGAAATAACGGATTACATATTTGACCTCGACCAATCACAGCTGGTCGTTAACCACAACCTCCATCATTTACAGGGGTGATCAGAGAAAGCTGCCAAGTCCTTGCTCCACCTTACAGCCCCCGCAACATCAATCCTCTTTCACTGAACATGGTCGAAGCAAAAGATGATGCAGATGTTGTAGTAAGACATTGAGAGTTGGGCCGTATGCTGCGTGGGATAAAACCAGAAACCGTCCGACCCTCGTGCTCCTTTTGTGACATTCACCCACAATAAACAAGTATAACTGTGTGCTGCACTTTAAAAGTACAAGATATACACAATACGGTTCAAATGTTTGTTATCAGCTGTTATATCAGTGTGTATCCTCAGTAATTTACTATTTTAAAAGAGTACAAAAAAGAATAATTCAGCTTATTTTCCAGTTTATTAAACCAATGACTTTCTTCCTCTGCGCTCATTGAACTGTTTCTCAGAGGTTACTTTCTTTTTTGTTTCCTTTTTAATTGACAGTCTAGTTGAACCATTGAACAACATGTTTTATTCCATGTAGAAAACAAACCTTTCTTACAAAATAACATCTATTGTTTAAAAAGGACTTTTTACGACCTTAAAGCATGAAACACAATTCAAACATAAGTGTCCATCTGACTTTTACCCAATAAAGATTTTGTGGCACGAATTACAAACTTTTGAGCGGTACTGCATGTGTTTTTAATTTCCTCGTTTTCTCTTCAGCCTGTCCCCTTTCCTGCAGTGTTTATCTCTGTGAACTACCCGCTGTTCTCCAGCCTCATATCACCTGTTGGACACACAGGGAGTCACCGGCTGTTCATCGTAATTTGTGAGGAGTTTGGAGGATAACCCTCACCCTGGAGCAACCAGAGGGGGAGGCAGCGACAATGCCTCACCGGTTTACCATGTAGAAACACAGTCAAATCGCACTGTGTTAAACCCTGTGTGTTTGTAAGGCAGGTGTTTTCATACCTGACTCTCGTCCTGGAGCTCTTTGGTGACGCAGGAGGTAACGGACCTCCCCCCTCTGCTGCCCGCATTTCTGCAAAACCTCGAACATCCGCTCCCCATCTCCAACGATATGTTCTGATTAGAAAAACACAACATATATATATCTGGGATCTCAGAAAAGATCATAAACCTGGAAGTTAATGTGCATTTATGTCTACTGTACAAACATTTATCTAGTGGTGTTTAGCTCTCAGTGTTTAGAGGATTTCATTGTTAAACTCACCGGAGCCTCTCCACATCTCGGCCAGGTAGCACTCGCCCTCTCCGGGCTCCTTGCAGAGCTCCACCACGTCCCTGCACAGCGTCTCCGGCGTGATGGGGACCTCATTGAAGTGCTGGTCGTTGTTGCTGAGGTACACGGTGAGGAACATCTACACACACAGAGCAGACACATGATACAAAAGTTAAGGTGGAATAATATTTTCGGCATCAAAGGTTTGAGCATTCGCAACACTGAGAAGATTTTTCTTTTGAGAAATCAGTGGATTCCAAGATTCTCTAGACTCTCTATTTATATAGATACAAAAATATATAAATACAACAGTGTTTTTACTCCCATTGGTCATGAGTTGAAATAAAGATATTTAAGGCTCTCTATATTCGTACAAAAAAGCAAATCTTCTACTTTTGTGCACAAAATTGTTGAAATCCATCAGTGAGCATTTCTCGTTTGCCAAACTAATTGTAAATGTTTGGCATATGATATTGCTGATTTGATCGGAACCATGTCAACTCCTGTTGAAACCAAGTCGACCAAAAACGGTCAATCACACCCAAAAAAGATGTCCAAGATCAGCAGTGTTCACAATTTGGATACGTTTTCAAATGAACAAAATAGTCTTCTAACACAGCATTTGAACCAATAAATAATGTTAATAAATGGGCGACACGCAGGACGGCAAACAAAATAAAACCTGTTCCCTGTGCCTTTAAAACATTTGCACGTTCTCTGTCAGATTGTGTTGATAGTTAAACCTGTGTGTGACCACCTCTGTTCCTTACTTCTTACTTGCTACCCCTTTCCCTCAACCTATCCTAAGGGAGTGCATGTACGTAGACACGTTGTGCCTCTCCACCTCTGTTCCTTACTTCTTACTTGCTACCCCTTTCCCTCAATCTATCCTAAGGGAGTCCATTTACGTAGACACGTTAGTTTAGCTGCTATATGCTTAGACTGTCGGGGGACACCTTACTTCTTCCTTCTGTCTGTCTGTACCTGTGTTCTCTCATGTTCCGAATAACCCAGCTTCCCCCATTTATTTTTGGTGTCTATCTACGCCGGGATCCTGAGTCGTGGCTGATCCTGTTGCTGCGGTCCTGTGTCCTGCATACTGAGTCCTGCATCCTGGATCCTCTATCCTGAGTTCTGGATTTGAGTCCTGGACTTCGAGTCGTGGCTGAACCCGTCTCTGCGGTCCTGCCTGACTCTGATCATACTACTTCCCTGATTCCCTTGACATCCTCGTGGATTCATCTTCTTATTATAGACACATGCATTTCCAAACATGTTGTAAATGTATTATCTCTTCGATTTACACACGACATCTATTGCACGTCTGTCCGTCCTGGGAGAGGGATCCCTCCTCTGTTGCTCTCCCTGAGGTTTCTCCCATGTTCCCCTTTAAACTGTGGTGTTTTTTGTCTGGAAGTTTTTCCTTGTACGATGTGAGGGTCTAAGGACAGAGGGTGTCGTATTGTCATACTGATATTCTGTACAAACTGTGAAGTCCACTGAGACAAATGTAACATTTGTGATATTGGGCTATATAAATAAACATTGATTGATTGATTGATGTGATTCGCTCAACCTGCGCTCTATACCTCTATGGCTTCCTGTGCTATTTAAGACTATAACAGATATTTGTGGACATAACTCCCATGATGCACCAGGCCATCTGTTACTCCAGCAGGGTATCTGCTATCAGGCCAAGATCCAGATCTCCTCCCACAGCCGCCAACCTGCAGGAGGCAGCGCTCAATGTGTTATTTATCCAGAGAGGGTGGTGTTTTCGAGATGATTTGCTCAATGGCTCGTCGGAGGAGCTGCATAGAAATGCTCTTTATGTGGATTTCCACCTTCAATCTGACTGTCCTGAGCTAAATTCAATCATCGTCTTCGTATTAAGCTCGTTCCACTTGGTGTAATTTGAAAAATGAGCAGCCTTCTTTGACCTTTCTCAAACTGACTGCAACCCCATTTACATGCAGACGCTGTCGGCTCAGGTTGAAATGAAGCTTATGAATAAAACCTCTATTCGGGAACCACTGAAGTGAATTCAAAAAGCAGGTACATCTAGTTTCTAATGCACGGGTGAATAAATACAGGGACAAGTGGATTTGGCTTTGTGGTAGAAAACCGATAAATGTAAATTGTCCTTCATGGTTTCTAAAGATGTGAAAGAGACGCTGTGTTTTGATTTTGTGCCTTCAGCTCCTTCTGGTCTGTCTTTGAGCTGCCTCCATCCAGCCTAAAATACATCTGGTTTCTTTCCACCACAATGGAGGCATTGTCAGGAAACCATGTATCTACAAACAAAGTGATGAAAGGTTTCAGTATAACAACTACATTAAACTTCAGACCTCAACTCTAACATCAGGGTATAAGCAGGAATCCTGAAGTCAAATGTAATACCTTTTAAGACCTTTTTTAAGACCCTTTCCATACATTTTAAGACCTCATCGCCACTTCGAGTTTTAACCGGTTACATTGGCGACACACTTTACCTCACATTGACTATATACAGTATTGATTGTCCTTCCTCCTTATCTTCCAACCATTTGGACGCAAACTTGCATTTCCCCATAACGATGTTGCTTAACAACCGGCGTAAACGGACCTTCGCGCGCTATCAAGCAGTAAGCGTGCGATGTCCTGTTTAGATGACGTCAAATCCAACGGGATGCCATAAATAAACTACACAGAATCACACTACACACCTACGCAATGATTACATTCAGGCACACTGTAGAATACAACCTCTTTGGACAATTGATATACTTTTTGAAAACAAGCTACAAAATGTAATACCTTGGAAAATGCCGTTTAATACTTTTTAATAGCCTTCATTTTCGCTAAATTGATTGATCAACTTTTAATACTTTTTAAGACCCCGCGGACACCCTGCACATCCACATATTCACTCTGAATTATTCCCACCCTCTTTGTGAGATTGTAATCCAGACAGTTGTGAACATAATGTTTAATAATCCTTTTACTAAAGATGTATGAGGCAAAGAAATGTGGTTGTGATGAATACTATAGAGGCACGTTTAGTTGAGAATATAATAAAGTAACTGTGTTCCTAATTTACTCACTGAAAAGGTGGATTTAATGTTAAGTTAAGTTACTTTAAAAGTTAAACAAGAGACTACAGTCTAAAATGTTTCGTAATGGTATTAGATGAAAGAGTCAGAGCACCAGATATATTTAAAGTCATCAAAAGAGGATACATGTTCATCATAATCCATCCAATAAATCGTCAGAATTTGTATTGAAAACCATAAAAATGTCAAAGGATGTATATGTACATTTCATATTGTTGGGAGCATGAATATCTATCAAATATGTGTTGAGGTATTTAACTCAAAGTCTCTAATATGGCTAACAAAGTATTCAGAATAATGACAACAAATTCATGACGACTGCATGAAAGAAGGAGGAATTGGAGTGGGTTTGTTTTATTTCTGAGAAAATATTTACTTAACAGAGAACTGGCAGAGAGAAGTTGGCACGGAGTTCACAAAGACACTCAGAGAGCCAACACAGTGAGAGCAATGCTGGATGATTGGCTTTTTAAATCCTAAATACTCTTGAGAGGTTTTTTAAGGTAATATTAACTTTCTGAGATCCGTCACATTTAAACTGAAAGGGATTCGCTGTGGACTCTGAGAAGCAAAGGGAAATTAAGTGCTATATTAAGAGAGGGCACCACTTAATACCATAGTTTTAATCCGTATAATAATCCGTTAAAATTGTCAATATAAAGAGTTTTTGAGTACTAATAAAGATGCTCTTTAAATAAGATGCAATATTCTCATTATCATGTAATGGTCTAGAGGTGGCTCATAGGAGATTCCTCGTGCTAAAGTGTCAGCTGAAGTAATTTAACCAATGTTTTTATCTCCGTGTACAGTCCCTCCTGCTTTAAAAATAATGAAATCAACAGAGACTAAGTGGCAGAGATGAATTAGCTGTCCTACATGCAGCTCTGGAGGAAAATGGAGCAGGTTGATGCAGATGAAATGGGTCACTGCCGTCAGTCACCAAACTGAGGTCGAACAGGAAACCCGGCAGCCAATCAGAGCGCAGCGAGGAGAGGAGGTCTGTCCCTCAGGACGACAACAGGGGGGGGGGGGAACCTCCTGTCGTCAGTGAGGCTGGTTATAGAAAAACAATATGCCCCGAGTACAGACTGAAGGTGTGTGTGGAACAAAAAGATGTTGTTTAACTTAACTTTAATTTCTAGGACTACATTTCTGACTAAAATGTTAGGGGAATTATCCGGCCTGGGAGCGTTTACCATGTGTCATTCCCTCAGTCTCCCCTATTGAACTCTGTCTCGTCATTCAAGGCAATGGTGTCTTAAAAATATATATATATAAAAAAGTAATGGAATTGAAAAGACAGAACTATGTTAAAATGGCAGCAAAAACATAATGTGCTTTTTTCAATTGTGACCTGTTTAAATGTTGTTTTAAGACAAATTTGAGATAAAAAAAATCGAATCAAACTTTAGTTATAAAGCACTTTTCATACACTCAAAGGATCAAAAACAATAAACACAGATAATAAACAGGGCAACACATGACTTTGTGATTAATAAAAACACTTAATGCCAACAGAAATCAATAAAAACTGGTCTGGATTTTATAAGAGTAATTACATTTCAATGAAAAGCCACATCCTGCTGGTCCTGCGTTGGCTCTTCAAAGTATTAACATGATAAAGATGTCATATAGTTCACACCAGAGATTTAAAAGTATCTGAAAGCATCCTGAATAAACTTGTATTGCTCCTTTTTCATTGATGACTTTAAAGTGAAATTTCTGGAGGACTTGACTCAAGAGGTTTTGCTTTGTGATATTATTCAGAAATGCACCAGATGTGAACATTAAAAGTCACGCTGCGTGTCTGATTGAAGACTTTATCTTACAGAAACACGGAGCTACGTGCTAACATGCTAATTGCATGCCCATTGTTAATCCTATATGAAAGTGTGTCAAAGGTCACGGCTGGAGTCATGAGGTCGACCCAACCGACCGTTTAGTGACACATCACTGAATTTAAGCCAGCAGCGAATAACCTTCAGAGAGCTCTCTGGGCTCGAAAATGAATTAAGAAATAAATAAAAACCGGACAGTACTGGGTCAA